CCCTTGGTAGGTCATCCCGAATGGTAATCCTTCAAGCTATCGCATCCCATGGATGGCACTTGCAATCTTTCGACATAAAAGCAGCATTCCTCCAAGGACAGCCGCAGAAAGACCGTTTGATTGTAATTGATCCCGTGAGTGAACTCCGAACCGCCATGAAAATGCAGCCTTCCGAAGTAGCTAGACTTCATAAAGGGGCCTACGGTCTTATTGATGCTCCATATCTTTGGTATTGTGCATTAGTTCAAGAATTGACCAGGCTGGGCATGGAATCCTGTCCATTTGATCCATGTGTCTTTATACTTAGTGAAGATTCATTCACTCCAAAGGACGATCAGCCGAGACCTGCCAACATTGCGCCTGCCACTGGCCCTATTGTTGGAGTGCTTGGAGTCCACGTTGACGACGGCATTTGCGGTGGGAATGAACAATTTCAACATGTCATTCAGCTTTTGGAACGGAAATATCCCTTTGGAGCCAAGAAAATGACTTCTTTTACTTTCACAGGTATTGAAGTAAACCAAGATCCCAGTTTTAACGTCACCCTTAGCCAATCCAACTACATCCGCAAAATCAGTCCAATCCCCATTGACATTAACCGTAAATCTCAGCCTGAACAACCAATTAATGATGAAGAACGTGGGCTTCTCAGAGGATTAATTGGGTCCCTGCAATATGCATCCACGAACACCCGACCAGATCTTTCCAACAGACTTTCCACTTTGCAATCTCAGATTAACAGTGCCCAAATTGAAACCATCATTGAAGCCAACAGACTACTTCATGAAGCAAAAAGATATCACGACACCACCATCACCATCAAATCAATACCTCATGAGGATCTTCGGTTCATGGTATTCTCAGACGCATCATTTGCATCAAGTTCCAAACCCTACTCATATGCCGGTAGCATAATTGTAGGTACTCACCGAGATATATCCAAAAATGTTGAATGCCCTATCAGCCCATTGATATGGGGAAGCAAAAAGATCCAAAAGGTAGTAACCAGCACGCTTTCAGCAGAAACTGTTTCCATGGCATCCGCTTTGGATCAACTAAGTTGGCTGCGGTTATATTGGAAATGGCCCCATGACCCCAAAACTCAATGGCATCGACCAGAAGATGCTCTTATGAAAGTTGAACCTGCCATCTCAGTTGCCACCTTGCCTTCTGCCGCAGATGTTGCAGTAACTGACTGCAAGAGCTTGCATGATCTCATTACTCGTACTGCTCCTCCGCAGTGCTCGGAGTTCCGCGTCCAGCCTGTTGCCAGGGCCATCAAGGACACTTTAAGAGAAGGCATTAATTTGAGATGGGTTCACACAGGAGCCCAGCTTGCAGATGCATTGACTAAAGCTATGGAAGCCAGATTTCTCAGAGAAACCCTCAAACATGGTTCCTATCGACTTTGTGATGAAAATTCAATGTTGAAGGAACGTGCCAAAACTCGTGACAGAATCAAATGGCTCAAACAGCAAGGATCCGATTCAAACAACGTTACAACCAACAACAATCCTATGTCACCTGCAGACTCACTTGATCCAACTGAATCTCAATAAAATTTCCTTCACTTTCAAAAAAATATAAAAAAATGGGAGTGTGATTCGTACATTCTGATGCCCAGGATGACGAGCAGTTTTCCAATGTCTCTCCGAGAGGCGTGTTGGCTCAGGCGAGCATAGGTGCGGGCAGGGTGGGCTCAACGCCCTTCGAGCCATAGTTGTGCTAGGTGGCAGGGACCACCAATAGGACCAGGGTGTCCTTGCAGTTTCCTTGGAAAGCAGCGGAGAGCCCAGCCATATCCTGTGCCAGTCGGGTCGAGACTTTTGCACTTGTAGCTGGCATCGTGAGGAAAACAGCTTGAGGAGCGTTTGGTGGAGCTTGGAATTGCAAACCATTTGAGACAGGGATTTATTCAGTTTGCATCTGGTTTTGACAAACAAGCTGCTATTCACTTCATCAACTGGTGTTGCTGCCATTTACAACACAGACATATAGAGATACATATACAGATATACATATACAGAGAGATACATTGGGAGACATACATATACAGAGATACATATACATGTTAACTTTCGTAAATAAGGGGGAGGGTTGTATTTAAGGTCGGCCCCCAGAAATAAGGTGCATGCAGTATGCAAAATACAACGAAATCAATGTGGGGAGATTCTTGGCTGAGAAGGGTATGCAACACTGATTTGGAGACACATCACAGGAGACGAAGTCGCAGTTCTTTTTGTCCCTCAGCCACCTTCTGCGGCACCCAACATGAAACGGATTTTGAAAGAACTTTTTGATTGCCTGTGTCACAATCTTATTGTTTCAGCATTTTTCATTTTGTTTTGCTTTGCTTGTAATGTTTTCAAAATGCAAGGCTGTTTCTCAATGACAATGTTTTGTACTGTTTTTCACAACAAAAAATGAAAAAATACAAGAAAAAGGGCGTGAACATTCTTCGAGCTATTTTTGTTTTTTTTAAATTCTTGGTAAAACAACAAACAAGAAAAGAAAAACAGCCAAAAATAATAAAAAACAACAAAATTAAAGAAGAGGACAACAGAAGAAAATGAAAAACTAGATAAGAAAGAATGAGAATAAAAATCGAAAAACATAAAATATTTTTGAGGAAGAAAAATCAAAAAAATAACATACGAACCAAAAAAAAAACAAAAAAAAAATATTGTTTAAGAAAAAAAAGAAAGAAAACAAAAAAAACAAATGTAAGTTGCTTATTTTTGTATTTGTTTTTTTTTGAAATCAAAAAAAATAAAATAAAAATAAAAAATGCAAAAATAAAAATAATAAAAAAAATCAAATAAAATAAAAAATAATAATAACAAATATTTTTTTAAAAAAAAAAAATAAACGAATAAATAAATAAAAGAAATAAAAAAAAATAAAAAAAAACAAACTAAAAAAAAAAGTAGTTTTTTAATATTTTTTTTATTTTTTTTTTTATTTATTTATTTTTTTTATTTTATTTTTTATTTTTTTTTTATTAAAATTCTATTTCCTTATTTCCGCAGAAATTCCTTAAATTCAAGGTCGGACCTTGAATTTAAGGAATTTTGTTTTTTTTCCACGGTGATTTTCCAAAAAAAAAACCTAAAAATCATAGATTTTTTTGAAAAATCATCGTGGATTTTTCTTTTCCCACGATGATTTTTCAAAAAAAACTATGATTTTTAGGTTTTTTTTTAAAAAATCACCGTGGAAAAAATTCAAAATTCCTTAAATTCAAGGTCCGACCTTGAATTTAAGGAATTTCTGCGGAAATAAGGAATTTAAAAAAAAAAATAGAAAAATAAATAAAATAATTTCAAACAAATTAAAAAAATCAAAAAAAATAAAAAAATAATAATAATAAAAATAAAATAAAAAAAATAAAAAAAATAAAAAAAAATAAAAAATAATAAAAAAACAATAAAAAAATAAAAAAATATTGTGTAAAAAAAAATAAAAAAAACGTTTTTTTCATTTTTTATTTTTGTTCCTTTTTTAAAAAAAAAAATATTTCTTATTTTATGTTTTTGAGAATCAAAAACAAGAAACTTGTCTGATTTTTCTTTGTAACGTCCGTTTTTTTTGATTTGAACAAAACCTGCTCAATATATTTGGTAGGCTGTCTGTTTGGTGAAGAAGAAAGCCAAAGTGCAAAACAGTGGAAGGAACATATCGACATGAGTATGGCACGCAAAAAGAAAAACAAATGAAAGGCTAAGAGACGACGCCAACACAAAAGAACCAACTAAACCAGATACGCGTCTCAATATATCACACTGTCGGAGCACTTTTGGCATATCTAGCACAAACATTTCCGCTGCAATCCACAGATTGCTCTGGTAGCCCTGCTTGTTCGGCAATTGATTGATTGCAAATGTGGTCCCATGGCCACCATGTTCTCATGATGCTTGCTGCACCCCAAAAAAAACCACAGGATGCAGCCCACTTGCGGAAGGAAAATCAACTATTTAAGATCCGCATTAACTTGTTGTGACAATAATAATATTCTTCACGTGGTTTACTACTCTATGGCCCCCCGCTACTCCCACAAACGTAAATTATGTTGAAGCACCAGTGAATCCCAAACCATCTCGCTGTAGACGCTGCATGCCAATGCTTTGCCACTGACAAATTTCACAAGGCGAGGCTCCCTAAATAATGTAGTAGACTTACAATTTGGTAAGTCTGGTTTATGGAGAATACAAAACAACTTATGTAATTTAACTATTGCATAATACTATCTACCTATCTATCTATCTATCTATCCTATCCTATCCTATCCTATCCTATCCTATCCATCTATCTATCTGTAATATATATATATATATAGTTGACTCATAGGCTAATAGTTGGGGGGGCTCAACTTCGATCTCCCACGGTTGTTGGTTTACAAATATCCAAAACCTTATTTCTTTCTAATTACCTTATTTCCTTGAATTATGAAAGTTTACACATATACAGGGATACATACATATATATATATATATACATACAGAGATACAGGGAGACGTACATATACAGACATACATATACAGAGATACATATATAGAGAGATACATTGAGAGACATACATATACAGAGATACATATACAGGGATACATACATACATATATATATATACAGAGATACAGAGAGACGTACATATACACACATACATAGACAGACATACATATACAGAGATACATATACAGAGATACATATATAGAGAGATACATTGAGAGACATACATATACAGAGATACATATAATTACATATATATATATTATACAGAGATACAGAGAGACGTACATATACAGACATACATAGACAGACATACATATATAGAGAGATACATTGAGAAACATACATATACAGAGATACATTTACAGAGATACATAGAGAGATAGAGAGAAAGGTGTGTGATCTTGTGTGTATACTTAGTTACTACACTTTGTACAACGCGTTATCCATGTCACATGAAGGAAGAATGACCTTGGATGAAACACGATTCTCACCTGCAGCTTTCGCCAGCTCGCGAGCCACTTCGGGTGGCAGGACCTGGCACAGATTCTCCTGAAAATTGGTTTAAAGGACCAAAAACCATGGTGATTTGAAGGGGTTTTAACCATAAATAACCATGGGGATATTGGGGAAGTATATCTGTACATATATATATATATGTCGGCGTGTAAAACCAAAGATATCAGGGAGTTAATGAAGATGTAATGGGATGTAACCAATAATATGATGTGGGTTACTGTAGTCGGAAAATGATGGATTTACCCACAACTATGGAAATTTCATGGGACAAAAGTAATGGCCGCTGAGATTTTGGGGCATCCTTTTTCAGACAAAGCCACAAAGGGGTTGTGTGGAAGGTTGGAATGCCAAAATCCCAGTGGCAAGTATTCATCATTCTCCCCATTAAAATTTCCATAAAGCGGGTATGTATACATATATATATATGTACATGTATATATTGAAACAAAACCACATTGGCATGGGTTCAAAAAAAAAAGTTGGCAACCCAGCAGATTTGCATTTTTGGTGTCTTTTAGGGGATTGATCATTTTGACCTACAACCACAAACCGTCACCATCCGGAAATCCGAGCTACCCTGCCTTTGTGTAGAACCAGTTGCTCCACTGAAGTAATTCGGATTTTGTCCAATCCTTATACGGAGAGCCAATGAACATCACGGTCCGTTCCAAAAAGCATGCTGCATCACCAAGGCGAAGCTGTGAAATCAAAGCACAGTTTTGCGAATCAACACCTTCGGATCAAAACAACATGCAACATTGAGCCCTTCGCATTGTCCCTATCGATGTATGCACGTATACATATTACATGCATACATATATACAGTATACATATACATACGCATGTGTGTGTGTCATGCGTGTATGTGTATGTATATATATACATACTTAATATTATATATATATATATCATTTGCACTGTGTGCCTGTCAACTATACACAATATGTACAATGTACATATATATACAGTACCACATGTGTATGGACAGTGTACGTGTAGCACCATTGCTTTTTCGAGACGCCACGAGCTTGGAGTCGCCATGGTGGTCCAATGGAGCATCAGATGAAGTTGCGCTGGCATCCTTAGCACGTTCGTTGCGTTGGTCTCATGTGGCTCTGTCTGAACGAAGGTTATCACCCCATGACCGAAGGCATGTATCTATGTATGCATGTATGGTATGGTATGGTATGGCATTGTATCGCATCGTATTGTACTGTGTATTGAGTTGCATTGCAATGTTATATTATTTGTATGCATGTATGCATGTATGCATGTATGCATGTATGCATGTATGCATGTACGCGTGCCTGTATGCCCTGTATGCCTGTATGCCGCGTGCTTGTGTGCGTGTGTGCGTGTGTGCGTGTGCCCGTCTATTGAATCTGTTCATATCTGATAGAAACAATCGTGTATTTGTGAATATCTGTGCATCCTCAGGCGCCCTGGAGCTGTTGGGAACGGTTCCGTTCGTCGCCGGTGTGACGGGAACGGGGCTGACGGGCTTTGTGTCGTTGCCAGATAGCCGCCGGACCTGGAAATCAAGCACCAATTCTAAACCAACCACTTCATGAATTTGCCTGGGGATACAACTCATGGGTGATAGTAACCATGATATTGGAATGTGTCTGTAAAAATCGGAATGCTGCCCCAAAGTTTTGGCCATTTAACTAGGGAAAATATTGATCAACCAGTGGATTGAGGGGTACCCTATTTGCAGACAAACTCATGTGTTTCGCGAAAGTCGCTAGACAACACCCAACCTGTGCCAACGGCGTTTCGAAGAAGAGATGGTTCACCTGCTGCAAATACGGACGAGCTTTCACCTGCCCAGCAGTGCTCATAGTGGGAAAGTTTCAAAGGGAATTAGTTCAGAGGCTTTGTACATGTTTTGATGGCGTTGACAACAAGAAAACCTTGCTGATGAATGCTCTGTACTGAAAATGATGCGCGTACCTTGATGAGGTCTTCAAGAGCAGCACAGGCCTGTCAACAAAAGTCCCAACCCAGAGCATTGATTAACCAATTGGTGCGGCTCAAGCACGCTACTGACTGCTGATCTAGGCTGAGTTCTCAGCTAAATTGATGGCAAGGCAAACCATATGCTACTCTGCCAGCAAATTTCCACACAAACTGACAAAGTGTTTTAGTGGATGAATGTCTGAGTGAATGAATACGCACGCTTCAGGACCTCGATAAGAAGCAAAAAACGGATCCGGAGTGCCGGAGTCTACATCTTAAGTGGATGCAGTAAGGAAACAATGCGTCGTGAACATTCCTCTTCTGAGGCGAACCAACAAGCTGACACGTCGGACTTCTTGCATTCATGCAAGATGCTCAACTCTTTCGAAATAGCAATCCTAACAGATTCATAATGACATTGCTTGCGCAGCTTTTGCAGACACCGTGTTGCCACGTTTCGTAATTCTTATCCTGAACGACGGCATTGGACACCCAAAAAATGATGAAACGTGATGAAGGATCTGTTTAGATTCTACATAAAGTGGGTGCATAAATTATGAACTGTGAAGCGTCTTATCCTGTAGCTACCTGCATCCCGGGTTCCGTCCCAGCCTTGCTCTGAATTTGAGACTGAACGAACCTTCATCCAGGCAAGAGAAGATAGTCTGTAGCTTGTGTCTACTATACAAGTTCAACGTCGTGCCTGTGTCACGAAGCTCGTTTCGAAATAGTAATAAAGAAAACAATGTTATATAATTATAATTATAACATAAATATAAATTATAACTGTAATTATCATCATCATCATCATCATCATCGTGTCCTCATCATCGTGTCCTCATCATCGTGTCCTCATCATCGTGTCCTCATCATCGTGTCCTCATCATCGTGTCCTCATCATCGTGTCCTCATCATCGTCGTCATTAGAAGCCTATAACTTATAATTAACTGCTGTCAAGACTGTCCATCTCAGATCTTCAAAGGATTTTCCACGACTTCGGGATTCGAATTTTAGATGTTCGTCCAAGTTTCCCATTCACGAAGGGGGATAACACCCTCTGCATGATGTTGGCTGTCTTGACCGCAAGGCCACCCTGGCAGCGTTGAGGCAGCGTGTTGAATATTGCGTGAACTAAGGGATGGCGCATCTATTTTGTGACTCTGAAATGGACTCGGGAGAAGCCAGCCTCATTACACTTCCTTATTCAAGAAGTATTCAGGAAGAACCAACGAAAATCACCGAAACAGCTCAACCGTTGGGAGATACAGGCCACAGTTCCTCAAGCAGTCACATCACAACGTTTGTTGGCCACTACCAGTGCGACTTGTCATCTGTTGATCTGTCGATCCATTGGCAAATTCAATTTCTTCCTCGCCTTTACTTCAACTTCTGCATGAAAGTCCTTGAGTCAGACGTGACAGTCCCTGACCCAAACATCAACTGGCGCACATTATCCAAACTTCACTTCACATCTCTTAACCCTTCCAAGTCAGCCCAAAGTCGCTAACCCCCATGAGGACCAGACTTACCAGGCTAATATCGATAAAATCGTTGAAAGATAACTGCCTTATTGGTAGCCCAAACAGTCTTATCACCCCGAAACCATTCTACAATGAAGACCGACCGATATCAGCGCTGCCGCCCATATACTGTAAATCATTTTGTGGTTGGAGGGAAGGTGATCCCAACTCTGTGCAAGCATGTGTTCTTGTGCAAACAAGAGTCCACTTGGCACTTTAGACCTTGGCGCATGGTTCTCAGAACGCCACACGTAAGAGCAGAGGAGGGTCCAGTGGTCGTTTATCCACTCCCTGAACCCCAAGATGCAGAATTCAAAAGGATTCGAAGGCATGTATCTCGAAACATGCAGGAGTCACCGGTTGTATGAGGTCTTGAAAAAGAGCAGCAAGGGCATAACTAGCTTTTCTTGTGACTGCTTGTCACATCACACTACTACTGCTCCTGAGTCCTACAAGTCTTGCTAGTAGTTTCTAATGTTTGCTAGTATTTGCACGTCAAGTAATCGCATGAACCGAGGCATCTTGGGAGTCTGAGCCAATTGTCTCATGTTTATCTCTAGGCAGGAGCACTGGCGGTGTCAAGCAACTGGTGAGCTTCGTCAGCTCCTGTCGAGGGTGGTGGCGCTGGAAGAGGACTTCAAACCTCGCTGACACGCACTGAAGACACCGAAGGATGGAAATGGCATATGGCAGACAGTCTGGATCTCATCGCCAAGGTTCTGCAGCAGAGCATTGACATTTTTTGCAGTTGCGATAGTTGGGGCAGGTTAGAACCCAATTTCTCGATGCATCTCAGTACATGCAGCAAGTAGAGTGCCAAATTTCAAACTGCACAGCCTTTTCTAGCCTCCAGCATGAAAATCAGATTAATCAGATATAAACGTTGCATCGATCTTGTTCCACAAACATAGAAATTGATACCCTCTGGTAATTTAACATAGCTATTGAAAATGGCCATTTATAGTGAGTTTTCCCATTAAAAATGGTGATTTTCAATATGTTAGTTTACCAGGGGGTATCACCCATTTCTCATGGCCCTTGCCTTGGCTGGTGATGAAAATGATCAGCCGGTGCCAAGAAGCTCAGCACCATTTCCAGATGATGCGCCATTCGTCAACTTTGCTTCCCAACTGCCACTTCCTGAAACTCATCGTTTGACAATGCCTCAAAAAAAGACGCCAATTTTTAGAACATAGTTTGTGATTGGAACTCACATACTATTTAGTTAGATTCAACATGTCAGATATTGTCATGAGTGTATAGCTACGTGTAATCACAGAATAGTTTCCACGTGGGAGTCTAAAGAACGCGTCTAATTTCAAAAGTCCCCAAATTACGATGGAGTATTTTCGGGTTTGGGGCTACAATGATGATCAATGTACTGAACTGATATCATCACTGTGATGATTCTTATTATCATATTAATAAGAATTATTATCATTATTATTACATATGATTACTATTATTACTATTATTCCTATTACGATTACTATTACTACTATTGCGATTACGATTACGATTATTACTATTCTCATTATTACTATTATCGCTAGTATCAAGATCATTCTCATTGCATGTAGTATTCTGGGTGCAAGAACCTGGACTACACTGACGGAGATGTAGGCTGGGCGGAACATCTCGTATGCTCGCACTATTGACTATCATTTCCTTCCAGTCTTGGTGTTCGACCACCTCTCCATCTTGCACATCTTGAGATATCATGGGAGGACTTTGGCAATGGATAATCGTAGGACTCACGTTGTCGGGTTTTTCCTCCATCGTTTTCTGAAGTCTTAGACACCGTCGTGCAAAAGTGCCCAGCTCCCTCTAAAAGTTAAATCAGCTGGGTCACTATCCTGTCTAAGTGTGTTTTGAGAACATTTGGGTTTGTCTGAACATAGGGTACCCCACAAATCCAATGGTTTATCCTCATGTTCCCATTAAACATAGTAAACTTAGTAAACTATGCAGCATGTGGCCATGGCGGCCATGTGGAGTATCCGCCATTTTCAGACAAGCAATGCCTCATGCTGGGGCTCCAACCAACCAGCAGCCAGCTCACAGTGCCCAGGGCAGAGAATTGACCCTGGCAGTCAATGGTCACGCCATCCACCATCAGTTCTAGGGCTGGATCCTCAGCACCCAGCGAGTGATGATAACCCACACGACACCTCATGGAAAACCACAACATGTTCCTCCTCAAATGTGTGACTATAGTGTACCTGGTTGTAATGTCATGGTTTGCAAAAGTAACCTGTTAGATCCTGTTAGATGTCTTGTAGATACCCAGTGGGAACCAATCCTGGTCGCCTGACATGACTTCAACCGTTCAACCCAGTCTCGCCCATGCTCATGTAGGTGTTAGAGTGGATCCGATCGAACTGCCTCGGCGGCAAGCAGTTCAAAGAGCTGGTGGCTCTTCCAGGCCTTCAGAGCCAAAAATGGCTTGATTGGCATGCAGTCGCAGGCATTTGTTTAGGGTTTCACGGCTTCACTTGAAGCACTGTCGACATTGTCTTTCCTATCGACCTGTTATTGGGGTCTGGGTTCTTGTCAAGGAGGAAGTCCAAGTGATGTGCTGAATTCTTAAACCTGAAAATGGAGGAGGTCGCACTTCATGCTTGCTTTTGCTCGTCTCTGCGGCAGACCATTGAGCCAAGCATCAAATTTGTGCATACAGTGTCGTGGTACTTAAAGTGAGCCGTGGTTCCTTCCTCCGTAGTCGAGTTTTCCTCGAAGGCATGGCTACAAGTCCCGTGTCTGCCTTTCGATCTTTTGATGCCAATTCTACGGTTGCCGACTCTCTTCTTTCAGAGATTGACATGCCACCCAGTTTTTGCACACCCAATACAGTGTAGTACTCATGGCGACCCAGCCCGGCACAACCACCTGCAGCCCCTACCAGGTACCAAGGATCCGAATCTGGAAGGTGAAACCTGAGGAATCAAGCCAACTAAGCTCAGCAGATTGCTTCATCCTGATGAAATCATTGCATCCTCAGAGATCCTTATATATTATATGTGTATATATAATATAATATAATATAATATAATATAATATAATATTAATATAATATAATATAATATAATATATAATATAATATAATATAATATATAATATAATATATAATATAATATATAATATAATATAATATAATATAGTATAATATAATATAATATAATATGATATAATATAATATGATATAATATAATATAATATAATATATTATAATATAATATAATATAATATAATATAATATAATATATATATAGATAGATAGAGATCCTAATAGCCTCTGAAGAACGACAGTGTACCATAATTGCAAGTTGCGGTGGAGGAATTCCACCCGCTCCACAGAGATCTAAGCTAACCAAGTTCCTCAGGTTTGACAAGGCACTGCAAGGATTTCATCCATGTCCTGAGCCCAAGAGTCGAATAGCTGCTACATGGATGTCCATCTCCCAAATATGCTGCACCCAAACTGGGAATATGAAAGGGTATGACCCGTCCTCAGTTCGCAATCCCAAAAGTGCCAGACAAAAAAAAAAAAACAGAATCATGTCCGGCCTATGAAATAGCTTCGGCAAGAGGATCAATGATCTTCAAATCTCTCTGTTCTGAGGATGCGGCTTCAACGGATCTGTTGCACCGTTCGCGCCCAATGCTGCAAGTTCAACCTTCTATTGTTGCAAAGTTTGAACAGAATCAGAAGGAGAATAACACTCTCCAACCCTGCAAAGAACTGAAGAAGGTGTTTTTTTCAGGAGCAATTAGTACAGATATAATACTATCTGTTCCGTCTATGATTAAAGCTGTCGGAATCTTTCAAGATAGTCAAAATAGAACGTATTCCCCACTATCAAAAAGGAGTTCCCTAACAGCAGTGCAAGGCTACAATGGACAGCTTCCCTGTTCTCAGCTCCCCGACGGTGTTTTTGGGATATTCAAACCCCCAGCTCCTCGGTGCACAGGACATTGACAGCTTTGCCATTCTGAGGCAGGCACCCTGCAGCACTTGCAGTCAGGATACTGCAAAGACAAAGCCAAGAATAGAGCATTCTTCAGCCCAGTCATCACCATGGCAGCTGCTTCTTCAAAACCGTTTCAGTCCCATTTTCAGCTGGTAGGGCAGCTGATACTCTATCCACGTTCGAGGATGACGGTGTTGAGGGAAATGCTGACATGCGTTGAGACATGGCTCGTTTCTATAAACAGGCTGGTCATTGCAGTGGAAGTGTCTCAAAGCATTGAAGGACCAAAGGGCACACAAGTGATGTTGTACATGTGTGTGTGCAAGTCCAATGGCTGAACAATGCCCAGTCTATGTTGTTCTACATGTGTTGAGCGCGGTGAATGCTGCAGAAAGGCATCCATATGGATTCAATGGATTGGTGAGAATTACTTCAGAAAACCATGGCTTATACTGTACCCTGGGGTAAACTACCATAGATGTAGAAAATCCGCCATGTGTAGATCATTTTCCTAATGGGAAAGGATTGGTTTTCTACATCTTTTTTGTATGTTTATACACGGTAAATCCCGAACAAGTTGTGGTTTCCTGTCAATCCTCCTACCAATTCCACAGATCGCTGCGCTGTTCAACCACCATGCGGCGGCCTCGTGGAGTCATGTGCAAACTCAGCAACCTGGATGGATTCAATAGCAAGCCGCTTATGAGTTTAGCCACCCATCCGATGTGTATATCCAGTATATGTATATATATATATACATATGTGTATGTATCTACATATGTAAGCACGTATGTATGTATATATATATATACATATGTGTATGTATCTACATATGTACGCACGTATGTATGTATATATATATACACCTACAAATATATGTCTAGAGAGATCTATAGATGCACATACAAATTAGCTATAATTAGCCATTTGAGATCATAGATTAGAATAGATTCAATATAATTGATCCTATGGAATCATCGTCCCAGGCCGGAAGGCACCGGAAATGGGACACCGTCGCTGCGACGTGGGGGGTGCCGCGTCCCGAAATGAGCCGCTCGAGCTGTGAACAGCGACTCCATGGAAGTTCTCTACAAGAGGGATCATTTTTGGTGGATCTGGATGTGGGTGAATGTGGGGAGGTTCAAAAACTTGGAACGTATATCTTCTTCGAAAAGGCAATGGGGCAAAGAGAAGACTCCAGGAACCTGAATCCTACAGGTCGCAAGTGTGATTCATCCATTCTTCTCCCCCGTTACAAGTGCAGAGTCTGAAAGCCCATGTTCGCCAAGTATCAAAATCAAGAACACATTTCAACCAACATGTTCATCTGCGTACAGAGAGGCCATGATCATGGTGCATAGTGGCATAGTCTGGGCTATTGGCCGCTTGGTCCCTCATATCCGAATCCCTTCTTTGCAGCATTGGCACTCGATCTAGAGACGGCTTCCAAGCAGGCTCTTAGGTTCATTGGGTCACAGGTAATTCTTAGACCCTTTGAAAAACAGTGGTCGCAAGCCAAGAAGTACCTAGTTTTGATGTTTCAAGGGCTTGATATCTTGAAATAGTCTGACTTGGGATTTCAAAACCTTGCGATCCACAATGAACCTGCTGCACGCTGCAGTCGCCCAGGACATCATAGTGTCCCACGTGAGGAGTTCAGGGATCGTCGGCTTGAAGTGTTGGCGAGGCCTAGCCAGCGTCACAACTAAAGTCAGAGGACTTACTGTATGCGTGTTATATATATATATATGTGTGTATATGTATATGTATATATTTATAATATTATATAATATGTACATATATACAGACATATATATATATATATATACACTATGTTATGTGTGGGTAAAATGATATAGTGCGTCCTTTTGCATACTTGCTACTTTCATCATCTCCATTATCTGACGCAAGATGCTACACAGAACTTGTTGGAGTATAAAGATACTGAGGTGCTGTGCAGACAGGAGGAAGTCTTTGCAAGGGAGAACCCGAAAATTGCGTGGCAAATCCAGAATCTGAACTCGTCACTGAAATCAAATGATCAAAAAATATGAAATCAGGCTTACAGAAGCCGAAAGTAAGCATCAGTGGCATCCATGATGTCTTTTTTCCCTTTGAAACTCTCAGGACTTGCTCTGGCTCTTTGCTTTCACTCCGAGGAAGCCACACTCACTTCCGGGCCGCGACTCGCAATCTCAAATCCATGGGCCCGTGATCTACACAAGTCCGTCAAGAACCTGGAACACCAGGCAACACCCAGAAGATTGCCAATGGAGCCTGAGATCACCCACTTCCAACAGCTTCGAATTTGTCAAACTTCTGCGTCCCTCGCGTTGATTTGTCAAACATCTCACTTTTGGTCCGAAACTGAGCTGCTGATTGAGGTCCTAGTAAGGGTGTCACAATTGACTATGAATAGGCTATGAATCGAATTAACAGGCGTGATCGAAGTAGCATTTGACACCAGCAGCTCCATGACTATCCTCAACATAGGCTCGAACCGAGGCTGGCCATGTGATGGGTTTCACACATGTGAGAACACGTAGCGATGGCAAGACATAAAGGTCGTCCCAGGACCAGCCTCCAGGATTCAAAGTCTTCTCTCCACGTATGAGACCCGGAAAGTCTCGAAGTAAGCTGTCCACACGAGGCACCAAGTCATTCGTACTGGCTAGAGATTGTTTGTAGTCAAAGCCTTTTGCCATATATTTTCGCATCTGGTAGCGTCGATCTTCCTCAGTGGCAAAATCTGCAATTGGCATCTGCAACAGCCTCGGTCGGGTTAGGCCATGCATGACCCGGCGCAAGCGCGACTGCCATGCCTTCAAGTCTTTTCGCCCTGTCCTGCGGCCGACAAGCCGCTGGTCTGCAGCTGCTTCCACGGCCTAGGCAAAAAAAAGTCTGCAAAATCAATTTAGCTGTGCACTGCAAAAAAAGTGAAAGCAAAAGTCAAGCTCTATAAACCATTCCTAGGTCCTCAGTCCTGTTTCCGAGCTTGCCCTTCGTTTCAATCCCTGCCTCAATGATATCCAGGGACTCACCCATGGTGTGCTCCATATTTTCTTCATCTCGCCAGGTGATCACCGGCAGCACCTTCTTACCAGTCAAGGCCATGGGCCCTTGGACATCTGCATATCCATAGACCGCACGCTCATAGGACCGGCCATGCCAACCCAAAACGAGTTCAACCCGAGTACAGTAGGGACAATGGTCATAGAGATGAAGTTTCAAAGCAGCTGCACTTCGTCGACTTTGTCGCCTCACCGCCTTTGTCATGGCCAAGGACACGCACTCAGAGGCACATAGAATGGCAGTTGCTACGGCAATGCAACCCCTGCAAATGTTCATGGCAAGGACACCTGCCGGTGAAAACACGGATACGCCAAGGTTCGAAAATTATGAGGGCTACAGTATGTGCTCTGTGCCAGTGGCATGTTATGAACGTTTGATGTGATGAAACTGCAGTAATAGAATATCAAACAGCGGTCCCTGCCAAAAAATACTTTATACCCCAAGTTACTTCTTGAAACCAGCACTCAAATCAACACGCAAAGCCTTGTCAGATCTTGCACAGCTGTGTGTTGGCACTGAAGGTAACGGCCATGCAAATTGAAAATCCCCCCAGCGTCCACTGCAGATACTGCCTGGCTTACGAGCTGTCTCCTCCTTTTGCCGAAGCTCCTGTTCCATGTGTGCATCCTTCTATAGACACTATTGCAAGACCAAATCTTCAGAGATTGCGAACATGTGCTACTCATCAACATTGATCTTATGGGCTCCTGACTTCTCCCTTACAGGATCGAAGCCATTAATTGCAGCGGTCGTATCACTGGTCACTTCTACGAAGGAGCACACAGAGGCCCAATGGATTTGGTTTAAGGGAAAACCTGCATGATGCAGATGATTTTCTTGTAGATTTTCCCGTAAACCAATTCAGCTATAGATCTACAGCGAGTCTGATGAGAAAGGTTCCCACTCATCAACAAGCAGACTTATTTGGTGATTTATCACGATTTTTCATGATTTATCATGATTTATCTGTACATATATATATATAATTATATATATATAGAATTATATATTCAAAATTAGAGCATCCTGCTGCCAAATCAACCCCTTCGGCCCCTTCTCCTCTACGATTCCAGACTCTTCTATCAGCTGCTTGGCCTTTAAGCCTTCAAGGAACTTTGGCTCCCCAGTCCGGTCATCCTGTCACGATCACATCTCTGCGGCCAGGATAGCAGCCCTTTGATCTTGGACACTTGAAATGTGCAGCACGGCAGGTTTGACGAAATCGATGTATTCTTCTAGATCACTGGGTTCCCCAGCCAAATCGTAGGTCAAGAGTCTCTCCAGCTCCTCGCAAATTCAGGAGTACTCGAGCATCAGTGGCCATTCATGGCGGACAGTGTCATCCTTTTTGGATTTCTTATGGTATTAAATACTGTATTGCATGCAATGATCATGAGAATCCCTAGTCAGTAGTAGCCACCGAATGACCATCCGTTACGGTGGATTGTAAAATTTCTAGAATGTCAACTCTGGATTAATAGGTGGTCCCCAAAGTCGTGATACTTGCAGTCAGAAATGGTACTCAACATATTATGTATCTATCAATCATGGGTTGAAATCAATCCGGGGTTCACATGCAGTCCTCTGAGGCAAATTGTTCAAGGAACTTTTCGAAGCCTGGGGCCCCGTTGTCAACCATCGACCAAGATGACCAAAGTGGACACAGTCATCAAACCGCTGCACCTATGAAGCCGCCACCAACTCGAAAGACGGGTTTGTCGTTGGAGATCTTGCAAATCACCTGTTGCCGATGCATGTCTTAGAAAAGGAGACGACCCTTTTGATGTGTCGCCAAAATCCTGAAACCTTCCATCCCCCTTGGGTTCGTCCCACTGCAGTGGTGTTTTTGTTGGTTTTTGAATCCCTGAAATTCCACACCTGTCGACGCCCAAAGAGGTACAAGCCCTGGGAGAGCCGGAAGAATGGCACCGCTGGCCTTCCAGGGTGAACCCCAGGAATACTCTACAAATGGCGAACAAAGGTGAATGTTCTGTGCCCATCTTCGACTACCAAAGGTTAGTAGGAATGCAATGAAGACAATGGTGATACTTGACACCTCGTTGCCGTGCAAGAACATATCAGGAAAAACTACGCTAAACAACAAAAAACACATCCTTGGAACACCGCCATGTCTTGTAGTAAAACTTGATAAATATTGATTGAACATAATAATAATTATATAATACTATACTATATGTATAGCATACTATAGAGGCACATGGCACAAGTTTTAGCTCGGCCTCCTTTTCAGTTTGCTGTCCGCAAGCCCCTTTTTATGTTTCACATTTATCGTTCAGCGCCATGTCCGCCTTGGCTACTACTTGTGATTGCTCACCAGATCAAGTTCTACGTTCAAGCGCCCCAACTCAGACTAAAATCTCCTGCTGGCTCGACTTTTCTTCCCACGGTTTCATTTTCTACTATTGGCGGATCGCTTCGCAAACATTTTACTGCTCCTTCCCGCTTTGCTGGCCACTTGCTACTACATCGATATTGTCTCCAACCTCAAGGTTCTGTTCATTACTGGTTGATCAAAACTATGGGGGGAAGTCTGGCACACTCGTCTATTTCCTCTTTTGCTCCCTTTGTTCGGCTGGTACGACATATTCTCCTTCCCGCAGAATTGGGGCAAGGACAGGTCTTCCAATCGACACCATCTCCATCAATTATCAGCTATAGCTAGCACGAACCCTGCCGTCACGGGACCGGACTCCTTTTCGTGACTTTCTCCTTTGTTTCGGTGTGTTTTTGGGGTCCGTCTTCTCAATTTCATCGGGTCCCCTGTTTAGGTGCATGTTAGCAGCATATCCCAGAGCTCAAAGTTTCTCCTTCAGTTGTCTACTTCTCCTGTTTATCCTTTTGTTTCTCCATCTAGCTGACGGAATGCTGCTGCAGACGTGTATTTCGCCGAGAACTGCATATTGTTGCTGAAAAATATAGCATGTATGGCATATATTGTTCTCAATTGTGTATACGTAGATAAGAAATTGCAATAGTGCACACAGTGAAAATTCAAGAGCTAGTACCTCTCCAGCTCTCCAGCTCCAACCAGCCCTCCTCACCTATAGCCGTTGATCCAGCGTCCCAGGATCATGTCCGTTGCCTTAGGCCAGGACATTCCAATCAAATGAAGTAATTCATCCAGGGAGGTCATCTTCCATTTGGGTTTTCATGATTGGCAGTGTGTCAAAACCGTGTACCCCTTCTGTTCACATCAAAATAGCTGGGATTTATGGATGTTCATCCCCCTAAAAATGGTATTAATAGGTATTGATCCATACCCGATTCACTGAACAAATGAATATTCAGCCAAACGGCATCACCCTTGAGCGGCGCATAGCGAGACGATAGCTCCTGCGATACGAAGGAGACTTCAACGGGACAAGTCAACTCCTGGCACCGTTCGAACCTCTTCACCAATATTCCCACAACGTGCCATTTTTTGGCGAACAAGTTCTGGCGACAAATCTATGCAAATCTGGAAAGATATGGTGAGGGAACGCCGCAAACAGCTGTCCTGTAATCTGTACATGAGCAGCTTGATCTCGTTGTTTCTATCCTGGAAGCCCCATCGTCCCGAGCTTCAACTTTCACAAGACTCAAAAAGGCTGTTTCTACCAGCTTCTCAAGTCCTTCTCATCAAGTGTATCCAATGACTGAAGGGCACTGCCAATCCATGCCCTGACGCCACCTCCAAGAGGCTTTCCAACTCGGACTGTTGCTGGTTCAATGCAAAGACATCCTCCTGCAGGGCACGTAGCAACACAGTGTAGCTCCAAAAATCCTTTGTTTCTTTTGAAATACTTCTGGCTTCTGGGTCAAAGATGGTCCATCTCTGTCAAAATCAGCACATGAACCACACAGCTTCAACGGAAGGGACCCATTTTACAAGCGGTGGATGCATCTCCCATCCCCGCTGGCTGTCCCGAAACTTGGTCGTTGCTTTCTCGACCTGTTCATGGAGTTCGTTGCGATCCCTCAAGCAGGACGCCAGCTCCTAGACTTTGGACCGGAGCTTGAAATTGCTTGGAATGGACACTGAACGCATACGTCAATCATGCCCACCGCTGGGAGTTCTAAACAAAATTCACTCACCATGAAAAGTTGGTGACCAAAGTAGTTTCTGGCATTTCTATTCTCATGTGTCTCATGTCGTAGATTTCCTACGCACCAAACAGTTTTGGCTCCACGCCTCCTGCTGCTGGTGTAGCTGCCGGGCGAGGTCTTCCGAGCCATGGCTCTTCCGGGAAGCTTCGAGAGCTCGGGCAGTCTGCTCCTGGCTGTGGCAAAAAGGCGCCCTGACCTCAATTTTTTTCGCAGAAAATGAGGCCATCTTTCGATAGTTGTTGGAAAACTCGACCATACAAACCATACAATTTTGGTCCACGACTGAAGAAACAACACTTCTGGATAATTTGGAGATGTGAAGAGCGGCTCTACTGTCCGGAGACAGAAGCTGAATGGGGCCACTTGATATGCCTAGTCTGGTCCTCTTTGGTCCAAGGAAATCCTTGGGTGGCATATATATTCCCTTACTTAGTTCCCTTATAATCTAATGAAAAATCCCCAACTGTCCCTTATTTTCCCATCAAGAATATGTAAATCACCAGGCAGGATGCCGCCGATGCCGCCCCATATGATCCTGCAACAGCTGCTGTTCCTGCGAGTTTCAAGCCGGGAAGTCCAAAGGTCCAACTATTGGCCCACTGATAGAATATATGGTACATGTGATTCATATGATTATCATACGATTCTTATGTGCTATGGCTATGTGCTATGGCTATATCAGGCTATATCTGTAGATATCGCTGATGTCCATCTGCCATCCTTTCTGAAAAATGCTGCAAAAGTTGAGCATCACATCTCCTCAAAGTGGCTCTTGGCAACTGCTAGCTGCCGCTTCAGCCTGGGAAGTCTGTTTTTTTTCGTCACTGAGTCGTCCAGGACTGTCCTCCATAGTTATGGCAGAGCCACCCACCAACCAGGACCAACCAACCAGGCCAACCATTCACCAGTGATTCACCAGACCGAAACTCAGTAAAACCTTGGACAGGAAATTCATGGAAATTCCTTCCTCCAAGATGCTCAGCCAAGTCCTTCAGCTTCAACTCATGCTCCTGGCCACAACTATGGCCGTGCAGCTATACTGAAACAAGTCTTCAAGTGGAATCCTTCAAAATCATATCAGACCTAAAGAAGAGACCAAATGTTCTGTCCATGCATCTATTTCCACTCAGATTAGTTCTTCATACCTGTTTTCGCCAATTTTCCCCTCCAGTCATCTAGCACCCGGCACCTCACTCGCCTTTTGTTGCTCAATGAGGTGCTGAGACACTTCCTGCTCCACCCGTTCAGCCACCTTTCGGGCTTCCTTCGCGATGGCCCAACGGCGGTTGATCTCAGCTCATGTTTGACGGATTTTTCTTGAGCTGATCATGATTTTGGCTGCTAGATTTTGGTCTTACATATCAAAAAATCAAAACACTCGGTTTTGGGGCACGCAGATCCGAACCCAGGAAAACCTCAGAAGGGAAGTGACCTGTAGCAAATGCAACCAGATACAGTCCTGCTGGGCAGTTCTTGCTTGTTCACGGAGTGCCTGACGCCAAAAGTAGATGCAGATAGAGCGTTTTGTTCCTTTCCTCACAACTGAGGCCGTTCCCTGCAGGAGCAAAAAGTCTGTATCGAAATTGCCTGTCCTTGGCTTTAATATTTTTAATCTCATAGTTTTGCATAGTTCTTTATACCCACTCTACAAGCATGGTCACTACGACACCTTAACAAATCATCAAAGTTGGAAACCCTTGAAGCAGCAGAAGATCGGCCTCGTTTCTTTCAGTAAGCAATCGGATCTCCTGGCACCGCTGTGTTGTACATATGCATACCTAGCCCAGCCAGGTGTGGACACTTCAAGATTCCATTTATTTGATGGATAGATCGGACCTATCCGGAGAGGATCCGGATAGGTTGCTTGAGAATGGTCAAGTCTTGCATCTGAATACTTTGAGGATGGACCCACCCTGGAGGGAAAGCTTCGGATTCACCCTGGAGGGAACTTGCACGGAAGCCTGCTGTCGTCTAATCTATCTATCTATCTATCTATCCATCCATCCATCCATCCATCCATCCAGATTGGTTTGTCCAAAGATAGTGTACCCCCGAAATTGATGGTTTATTTTAACATAGTTTAATCATGGTCCCTATTACCATCTGGTTATTTAACATAGCCATGGAAAATCACCATGTTTAAGTTCGGTAAACCATCTATTTCTATGGGCCATCTATACCATGGCTATGTTAGTCATAACCAGAGGCTAAAATCATCATTGGGGTTTGTCTGAAAATAGGGTATATTCCCAATCATAGCCATTTAATAGGGATAATGATCAGCAAAACCATTGGGTTTAGGGCTACACTATTTTCAGACACACCCATGTAGTAGACCTAAGTCATGGACAAAGCCATGCTACCGGTTGCCGCCTCTCGTAGCTCATCTTGGGAGACCACTTGGCTCCTATAGGTTCCCACGGAGCCATGGGTGCGGGATTAGCAGTGCATGGATGAGTCATGGATTATGTAATGATTGGATGATTTCATCCACAATCACAATAATTCATATCATAATAATGGATATTAATGGATATATATATATATATATTATATATATGATTATATATGGATGATATGGATGATATGGATCATATGGGATTGCACGGATCATCCACAAATTCATATCAATTCATAGTTTCTTAGCTGCAATTGGATGTTTCATTGGGCTTTTGAAAACTGTTCAGTCAAGGGCAAGACATGGCAAGACATTTATGACGCCAGCCCAGTCGTGGAAAACTGACATCTCAAACCTCCCAGCTGACCACTGGGTTTCCCGGCCGGAACTCATCAAGCTGCCGCTGGCCCCTCACCAACTCCTTTTTTGTGCAGAGAGAGAAAGAACATTGGACCAGTGGACCATCTGGGCAAGCACTGTCAGACTCACTTGGCTTCTTTCATTTTCCTAGCTGCAGGCAGTTAGTTGCCGGTTTGGATCAGAACTCTTCTTTCAGATTCGGTGTGCAGCTGAAGAGAGGACTTCTTGTGCTGGAGTGACTGTAAAAAGGTCTTGGAGTACAGAACAAGTGTGCGTATTTCGCACCAGCAAGATTCCCATCTGGAATGTGGCATTCTTGGACCATTCAATCCTAACAGTTGTGCCTTCTGTACTCCAGACTTGTCACCTGATAACCACGGACGGTACAACCCCCAGCGACGTGTGGCTTCTAATAGGTGGCCAACGCACAACCGATGGCAGTCCATCTGGGGGTGGCCTAGCTGCGGCTCCGCTGCAATACTCCAATATCTCCGAGGGATCTGGGCCAGGTGATGTATCCTACACTTGGCCCCTGCGGCAAAGCAAGCTCTGTCTCTAAGTCATAAAAGATGGACCAAGAGCACTGGGAAGATGCACTTTAAAGCCAAGGAACATTCAATTCCATTCATCCAGGGAAAGGATGCCTGTTGGAGCCTTGAGCTTGATGAATCTGTTAACACTTCATGGTATCTTCGAACTAGAAATCATTAGAGACTGAGCTGCTCTTTGTTCTGTACAAGTGAACACACTGAGGCAGCTGATTCAGACCGGTGCTAAACTCAAAGCCTGGAGACAGCTCAGAATTGGATCCCTTTGCAACTAGAGCCTCAAATAGGCCTCTTCCTGTCTCCTGATTTGAATTTTTGACTGCCCAAGAGTTGCGCTAAATCACCAACTCTGATATAATTACAGAAGCCTGACTACTACTCATGCTACTTGCAAATCCAAAAACACTCTCCTCCATTCTAGCTTGCTTGGTTGCACATTAGGTTCATCTCCGGCTAATCCAAGGCTTCTACACGTTCGCTGACTTGATGACATCTTCAGGCTTCAGGCTACACTGTCCATTCTCTGAATCTGCTGGAAAGGCCTGGCTTAGCCAGACCAGAAGTGCTGGGAAATGGCGGAAATTGCCCCTCAGCTTCTACGCCCAGGCCAGAGGCAGTGTCAATCTTCCTCCGTTTTCTGTGAAAATTGGCTGCATTGAGATCCACTAAAGATCTATCTGCAGATGTATCGGGTAGACTCCTTGGCAAACACAATGTCATAGGGCAATTTCAGGACATTCATACAAACTAAAGTGCAAGCCTGATGTTTCAAGAGTGTCAGTATGAACAAATTCTCAGGCCGCCGAAAAGCTAGAACTGAAATCTGCTGCAGTACAAATGGATGAATTGTTTTTTTCGCTGAAGCTTGAAAAAGAAGAGGAGGCTGAACTATCTGAATTCATCCCCCAATGTCCTCTAAACTCATCCTATAATCTGCCTTCGACCAGGGTGAGAGAAAAAAGCAAGGGCGGAAAGGCGAAACACTGATGTCAGATTTCTCGACCCTGGTTCATAGAACCATCATGTATCAATCCTCAGGTCTCGTATCACACAAAGAGTTCATGTGATGCACCTGTCCACGATTTTGATCTGGATTGAATGATCGCAGTGTGGAAAGCATCAGCCCCGACTGAGCAAACGCGTGGTTGAAGCGGGGCTTGAAAGAAAAACCACTCCATTCGAAGCACCAGGAGCAGTGCTGGGCGGCAGGCCATGTCCAGAGTCAAGCACTTTCTGACCACATCCTTACACTCCGAAGAGGCCGACTCAAATTGGGGAGATTGCCAGTTGACCGGCGCTCTGAAAACTGCGGCCGTGAACTCTTCGAAGTTCCGATATCTTGAGAAACTATGGGGTAGGCTACCCGTGATCATCAAATGGAGGCACAAACCTGTGCACCACACATCGTGCTTCTCTGATGGCGAGTGTCCATCAAGAACTTCTGGTGATGCATATTCCATTGTGCCTGTCATGGTGTATGCTCCTCCATCTTTTAAAGACTTTGCGGTGTTGAAGTCAAGCAAGTGCAAGCCCGTCTGATCAGGGGAAATGATCACATTCTGAGCCTTGATATCACGATGGACAACCCGTCTTGAGTGCAGGTAATTCACAGCACTCATGAGCTGATGGATGAGATCACGAGAGATCTCTTCTGAAAAACACTTCCTCTCTGTGGCCTTCACTGTAACATCCAGCGTACTCCCCTGAATAAAGTTGAGCACCACAATTGCCTGAGTTCCGCTCGACATGAAATCAATGGCTTCAACGATATTGGGATGTTGCAGATTCTGCAGCATCTCAAACTCCTTTTTGCGTGCGCTGACAACTTGTTCATCAGGAGCATCAAGCAGCTTCAAGGCTACCTGGCACGCCCACGTCGCTGTCTCCAAACATCAGATCACAAAAAGCGAAAAAGAAAAAACGTATAGGCCTTATGCGGAGATTTCCTGAAATGGGGGTACCCCTAAATCAGACCCCTAAATATCCCTAAATCATCCATTTTAGCTCATTTTAATAGGATTTTCCATTATAAAGCAACCATGTTGGGGATCCCCCATTGATGGAAACTCCGTTTCCCCCTCTTCGGCACCTCCTTGCCATCTTTCTTCCTGGAGGCTCGCAACACGCGACCTGCTGCGCCAAGGCCTAACGCTTCAAGCACTGTGTAGTTCTCCTCAAGCAGCGGTGAATGGCCGGGGGCCGGGGGGGTTCCCCCCATGTGGATGGATGGTACCCCCTGAAACAACATTGTCAACACTTGGATGGGGGTACCCCATAGGGTACCCCCAGAAACCATCACCCCAACTTGCTCCAAATGTCCGGAATCAAAGGGATCTGTCCTCGTACCACTTTTGCGTATCACCGACCACCCAGTTTTGAGTTACAGACAGACTCAAGGCGCCTCTCGCCAAACTGCGTCGCTCCAAGAGTTTTGACATGGCAGCCAAAGCTAAGCTCCAGACGTGGTGAGATTTCTTGTGCTGAGATTTCTTGCTTTAGACCGAAACAATAATGCCTGTTTCGAAACGTGTCGGATGCACAAATTCAAGTGGATAGATTCGAATGGAAGTCTTCAGCCTTCAGCTGGCTGCGGGATGGACAGGCGATTCCATGACAGTCTAGGCACGGCAAAAAATCGGGGCAACTTCCCACAAAATGGTCTCCTTGCACTGAGATGACAGAGTGCTCCAACAGTCCTTCTTTGCAGCAGACATCTCCATTTCAAGGTTGTTGGAACGGCCTGCTACAAGAGATGTCGAGTGGATACTATACCTTCAGTGACATTACGTTCCCTCCAATCTGCTGTGTCTTGCTGCCTGCGTTGATGCAAAACCTTGCAACTCAAGCGATCTGTGATCTTTAACATCCATCTCAACATGCGTGGAAACAGCTAGGTACCAAACCATGCCAAAAAGATATGATAAGATATGCCTCCCGCTGCCGTTCCTGAACTTCTAAGCAATTCCAAACCTTCCCTACAACTCATGAGTATGGCCACATGGCCACAAAATATGGTGATACTCAAAGATACCTTGGATTTGATTGCCATCGGCCTCAAAATCAGTATGTTGTCGGCTGTCGCTTCAAAAAGCAAGAGCTCGATGGCAATCCTCTCTCTTTACTTCACCACTTTTGGTGTTCTCGCGGACCCAAATTGCCCGGCCTCTTTCATCATTAAGTTCCTGCCTCGCCTCACGGTGAAAGTCGCACGGTGAAAATGGATTCTGATCGGAAAAGAAACCATTCAAACAGACAAAGCAAACGTGAAGAACACTTCCCAAAAGCAAAGGGCATCTTAAAAAAATCTTGCAACTCCCCAAACTCCACCAGCCCATGCCCATGGTGGTTGGTACCTGGTGAAATGCCATCTGAACTACCCAACTCCCCTCACCTTCTCTAAGTCCAGGCGCAGCCCTCGGACCAAGGTGCGATGCTCCTAAGGCAACTGGGGCAATTTCCGGAAACCCACTGCCACTGGAACCCACTGGAACCACTAAGACCCACTGATTCAGGGCTTAAAATCAGATCCTCGGAGTTTGGCAACATTCACCAATGGCCATGGCCAGAAATGTTCCAGGGTATTCGCCCACTTTCGACCAAACGATGGCGTCTAGGCAACCAAAAAAAGGGGAGCCAAGGCTCCGCAATTTGGGGGTGAGTTGTTGTATGCTTTTGCTGCTTAGTTCATAATTAATAATTATTCTTCTAATGTATTGTAATCATCTCTATTAAACCAAGGTACAAAGACTCCTCCCCAACCCCACTATCGAGTATGGTGCATCGGGGTCTTGGCGGGCCATGGGTGAGGATTCCCACAGTTTGGGGGAGGCAGCTGGATTTACGGCGGAACGGCCATTTTTCATGTCTGTTTGGTGCAGTTCGGTGCTGTCAACTGAGGCACACAAAACCCGAGTAGAGCATGACATTGGAAAACCAAAGCCTCTTTGCAGCTCAGCTCCAATACGAAAACCAAACGTTAACTGAGACATCGCACATCGAGTATGGAGGAAAGCCTCTGCATCTCCTGGTGCGACGACTTCATCAAGTGAGACTGCAAGCATTTCAGCCGATATGGTTGGCCCTTCTATCCAGCAACTAACCTTGTTGCTTGTTGACATCCACAGTCTTGCTACTCTTGGCCATTCAAACGCCCATAGTCAGGATTTGGGATTTGTTTTTCCCCATTAAAGCCCCGTTGTCCCATGGTATTTCCCATGTTGACATCGTTGCTACAGAAAAACCATCCCGCTGCAGTCCACTTCGCCCAGCTTGTGGTCCAGCTCCGACCTGTGCTGCCTGGCCCGTGGACGCCCAGATGACGTGTCAGTAAGAACCAGTTGATGCTGAGATCTACAGCACACCTCTCTGCAGGATGTCCTTAAATAGCTGGAAAGCATCGACTCTTGGATCAAGAGTGGCATGCGAAACAATCCGGGAACTCAACACAAAATGGACTCTGACTCATTCGGAAAAAAAAAAAAAACAAGAGTCATAAACGTCTTTGCTGTCTCAAAAAGGGACACACGGCTAACAATTTGGCTGACATGACCGGTCCCAGATTTCGCGCCTTTCGCGTTCCAGGGAAGCTTGCAAAGAGGAGACCTTCTGCAAACGGTTCATTTTTTTGTTCATGTCTGTTGTATCTCCTTCACTATCAAATCCTGATGTGACCAAGACTTCTCAGGGTGAAATTGCATACCGGTGCTAGCATCTTCAGGTGCATGAGGTTTTGATGTTGGATTTCTCAACAGGGAGAGTATCCCTAAACTTGCTTTAACTATGTTTAGCTTGGGTTATTCTCCAATCCACCAGAATCATACCCTCTGGTAATTTAACATAGCTATTGAAAATGGCCATTTATAGTGGATTTATCCATTAAAAATGGTGATTTTCCATTGCTATGTTAGTTTACCAGAATCATAACAGACTGAGTTGGTTTTTTTCTCCCCGACAGCTGACAGCCTCGCTCTCCAGCTTCTCGATGCGGCGCTGCTGGACGTCGCTCTTTTCCCGGGCCAGCTTCACCTCCGAATCCTCAGTTGTGAAGAAAAAATCATTGACTTCGTTTTCAGTAATGTCACTGGATTGGTTTAAGGGAAAATTTACAGGAAACCATGTTTTTTACCATCAAATATAGGGCTTAAACCTGTAAATGTTCCCATAATCCAATTCTATGATAATGATTATAGATATTCATAGCATTTCATGACCCTCCAATCAAAACCAAATCATGAAACAAGTTGAAACCCACGAATGAAACCTCATGGAAAAGATGTGCGCTTGACCACCACCGATCCTGCATGTCCTTTAAATGCTCAAATTCCTGCGCAGGGCTAGCATTTAAAACGTTCCAAAACAACAAACCCTAAAACCGTAACACCATAAAACCCTGAACCCAAAAAGCTTAAATCCGGAAAGCATTATTTGGAGGTGGTCGAACGTAGGATTTGCTAGGGCGCAGACATGTGATGACATCCATGAGGTTTTAATACACAATCCCAGCTGGACCAAGGGGGAAAAGCCTGTTTTCTTGCGCCTTGTCACGGACTTGGTCTTGGAGCTGCAAGGTTTCCAATTGCAAGGTCTCCTGAGCTGAAGAAAACTGGTCCAACTGGGTTTCTGAATTTCCTGTACCCTCTGGTAATTTAACATAACTATGGAAAATCACCATTTTTAATGGGAAAATCCACTATAAATGGCCATTTTCAATAGCTATGTTAGTTTACCAGAGGGTATTCATGTTCCAGATTCTCTTGATCTTTGACGTCGACTTTCATGTTCAACTATCCGTCATGTTTTATCTGGATAGAAAACAGATCAAACTTGGATCAAACCTCAAATCAAAAGCCCCCAAAAGACCCTTTGTCCAAAGTCGCAGCAAAATCATAGCAGTCATAGCACTGACTTCGACGCCTTTGCCAGGATTTCACGCTCGGAGATGGCCCGGGCCTGTCAAACTTTGAAGCAAAAGAACTTACTCACTCTCTGGAAAGCGCTTTGAGATATAAGACAAATCTATACAAATCTCTGATCGATCCTACAATTTCTGCAATTTCTGCTCACAACTTTGGCGTTGATCTCTGTGCCAATTTGCTGTCTTGCAGACAAGCAAACGTAGTGTACGGTAATTCATTTGTCTCAACAAAAGATTTCCCTGTAAACGCTGGTTCGTGGTATTCATTCCCATCATTCCACTCAAAGAAATCTGCTGCCTTCTCTATTTCGCGGCCGCGGTCCTGCAAACTAGGCTGGTGTGTGGCTCAACAAGCCGTGAAAGATGTGACTCTAGAATATCAAGACCTAGCAACCAGAGGCTTTTTCAGACATGCGCAGCCAAAGAAGTGAATGCGGCTTATATATATCACTGATTGATCGCTGAAATTCTGTTCAAACTCCGGAGAATGGAGCCCTTTTCAAGCGAGATCCACTGTTTTCAAAGCTAAATGCAGTAGGTGAATGCTATGTTGTGATTTCAGTTGATTTGGAAACTTCACTGAGAGAGGAAGTTTCCAAGTCATCAAAAATGGCGCCTCCTTCAGCTGCCAATTTTCTTCTCGAAGCAACGACACTTCTCGCCCTTGCTCCTGTCAACATGAGGAACGGGATTTAGATCGATACCCTAATACCCTATGATACCCTATGATACCCTATGATACCCTATGATACCCTATGTTACCCTATGATACCCTATGTTACCCTATGATACCCTATGATACCCTATGATACCCTATGCGCGTAGCGTGTATCTCCAATCTGTTTGATCCATGTTCCTTAATTTGCTGGACTAGCTAATGAGCTGATTGCAAGATTCGCCCCCAGACTAGAATTTTCTTTGTCCAAAATGCAGTACCCCAAAATCCAGTGGCTCATCATTGAGATTGCCACGTAATGGAGGTTTATCCCCCATTTTCAGAAAAAAACATATCATTCATATCATGCTGAATCATCACCCTCCAAAATTGATGGAATCAACACTCAAAATGGCCGAGTTTGATGGTCCATTGGCAACTCAAGGGGAGTTGCCAAACTCCCCATTTTTGGGCAGTTTGTCTGAAAATTGGGGGTCAATCCCCCATGTTCAGACATCCCCAATTTATCATAGTGGTTATACAATATGTACAAGAATCCCATCCCCGGAAACCTCCATAAAATGCTTGGTTTAATCCATTATTTGGTTCAATCAGATCCCAATGTCCATTTACATTTGCAGAGAAATCAACATCGTCCCCTCCTGTATCTGCTCTTGAAGCCGTTGCCGTGTCAGACGCAAGGATTCTACGTCCCCCACGATATGCTGAGCCTCGAAGGCAAGGCGACTTGGGTTTGTCCAACATAAAGGGTAGACCGGGTAGACCGGTACACCCCCAAGAATGCTATGGCTATGGGTATCTTGATAAACATGAAGCTCTTTAACCCCGGGATTTCGGGGGTTATCCTATTCTTAGCTGCCTTAGCTCACCTCAAGCTGCTTTGAAACTGAGAAATCGCTGCTGGTGGGAGCCTCCTCTTCGGCAGCCTGAGCTGCTTGGCACTTCTGATGTACCTGGCAGGTTTCCTGTCCACATCACCAAGTGCTACAGATCGAAATTGGGCACCTCCAAAACGGCTTGGTTGATATTTAGAATATTTCAAAACGACCAACCATAATCACATAATCAACCCAAACCCAAACGTGAGGGACTCCGCAAATTGCCAAGTTATTGCGACATGTCCATACCACTCCTGCGCCCGCTGTGACGACTGGAAACATGCACCTAAGTCACTCGTCAGAAACCAAATATTCAAACATCCGCCCCTCCCAGCTGCCAGCTGCTTCCAAAGGAAGACCAGAGGGCACCAGCTTCATTTCACCTTCCATCAAAGCAAGACGCTGCTGCAAGGACTCCTCATGAGACTTCCGTAGGGCCACCTTCGCCGTGCCCCGGTGCCGGAAATGTGCTGTGAATGAAAATAGCAAGCATGAATGATATCCATTGATATCCCACATATGCTGTAAGAATCACGGCTACTGCGAACTCAGATCGAATCCTTGCAGGTGTGCACGCCTCCTGCTCCAATTCACCCATCCTCTGCTGCAGGGAAGATTTGGCAGAAGCCACCTGCGCAAAGCAGCTCTAGTATGCTCTAGCGTCTAGAGACTACCCTGCAGTAATTTAAACAGTTTGCTATGGAAAATGGCCCAAGTATGGGTTATATATGTTATATTTACCTGTTAAAAATGGTGATGTTCCGCAGCTATGTGTTAAATCATCAGGTGGTGAAACAAAGACATCCCAGAAAATGGCACCTCCCGAAGGCTCGATCGCTCTTGCTCGGCCTGAGTTTTCATGTTCCCACTTCAAATGGCCGGTTGGTGGGCCAATCCCCCATTTAACAATCTTGACATCAAAAAGCACCATCCATCCATCCATCCATCCATCCATCAATCAATCAATCAATCAATCAATCATCATCCAGCACAATATATCACCACATAATTCACCATTATTCACATATTCGCGTTGCCTCGGCTCGGCTGTGCTCCAAATCCTCCTGCAGTCTCTGGATCAAGACTTGCGATCTGCCCTGCTGCTCCTGAAAACACAGCGGCATTGAGGAGACGGGATCCGGGACACCAATGGAAAATTTAAAGGAACCCGGTTAATGTAAGATGTTCTGATATTATGGGAACTGTTTAAGATTGTTGAACTATTAAAAGTCAACATTTCTTTGTAGATAATCCCTAAAGCCAATGTGAGATACACGAGGAAGACAGCACCAACCACAGATCAATGATTCTTCTTGATCAACGGTGAATCATATTTTACACATCGGAAACTATCCCTGACTTCAGAGCCAGCTTTGACTAGTACCATGATGACTACGAATCTGATCATAGAAGGAAAGGTGTTTCATAAAGAACCGTGCGCAGTTCGACAGTGGTTCCCGAGGCGCGCTTCAGGCCGTTGCTCGATCCTCCAAGGATTTGGACAAGACCTTGATCCTGGTCTCTTGATCATCGTAGAGCCTCAACAGCGTGTCCACAGATCCTAAAGAATCTGCTGGGGACGCCTATAGTTTTACGGTAAGCTAGTTTATAAACCCACCTAACATCACCTAACATCACCTAACATCACCTAACTCTATAAACCCTAATTAACCAGTTTACCCACGAATACGTTTCACCAAAACAAGATCCACCGGACCTTTGCTTCTCTTCTAAGGCGGCAATGGCGCGTTCGTAGGGTGCCAAGCGAAGCTTGAATGCCTCCTCCTATGATTCTTCTATGGTTGATTTATTTCATGGAAAATCCAATTAAAATGATTTAAATTTAAAATTGATGATTTGGGGGTACCCTTATTTCAGGAAACCACCAAATGTCTAGAAACTCTTACCCAAAAACCGATTGGAAAGATTTGACTTGCACCGATTCACAGTATTGGAACCGTGTGCATCTCAATGCATTTGCACACAAGAGTCACAAGAGTATCAGCTTCCAGAAAGTGATGCATGTTCTGAGGGGTCTTGTTTTCTCTTCCAAAAAGAAAATGGATCCAAGCAATTTTTGGGAGGTTGACATCATGTCCTGCAACATGTCCTGCTCCCGTCCTGCGCTTTTTGTCGCTCTTCTTTATCCTCTTCTTGGAGCGGCTCCTACCACTGTCAATCATTGAAGCGGCGCTAAGGTCTGCCGAATCACTGCAAATCCTTACAGAAACAGCTGTGGATCTTTCAGTGTAAAGTATATTCACAATATTCACTAATAGTTCTTCTGCATTCAACCGGCAAATTGTGCGACTAAGGTCAACAAGTTTCCCACCTGCAGCTTTCCAGACTGTGGGCTATTGTTGCTGGCACCTGTTCGATGGCTTTCGAAGCCTCTCAGGATGTGTCAAATTTGGGGGCCACCAGCGTGAAAACGCTAACACGCTTAATGTGGATCTCTCTTCTCCATCAGAAACATCCCAAATGATGACTTGAAATATTTGTTCATTATCTTACTGAACCCTCTGATTTCCCAGACTTCCAAACCACCAACCCAAACCACCACGTAAGCGTAACCTGATTGTATAATCCTTCCAATATGCAACCCGGGGCCCCTCAGCCTGAAAAAAATCAGAGATTGCGCAGTCCAAATCCAACAGAAGTGTTTCATCCGGCCTTTGATGGCCGGATTTCATGTCTGTTCGATTTAGAAAAAATGCCATTTTTGATGGGCGGTGAAGATTGAAATATTTGAAATCCAACTCGCTGCCCAAAATCATGGCATATCATGGCCTTCCCCACCTCCACTGGTGTTCCCAGCCCTTCGACCAGAGCCCAGTGCCCCTGCAGCACGCAGAGGTCGCAAGGGGCCGCTGCGACTTCGTTGCGGCCTTGCTGGAGAGCTGACACTCCCCGAGGGAACGGCAAAAGTGGATCACTCCTTTTGTTTATGGGAAGAATTGGTAAAATCATGTTTTTATTTATGGATTTATATACGGTTCACTCACTATGAGATAAAACTTATATGGTAAACCCCATCAACATCATTGGGCTACTGAATCAGTATGGCCCCAGATATCAAAGACAACGAAATTGCGCACTCCAAACCGAATCCTGAGAGTCCGCGCGTTGCACCTGTCCGCCGCTTTTCACCTGCACCTACACCTGCAGGAAAGCACCAGTGCATCGGACAAAGTGAAAGTCAGTTAAGTCTTTACCAAAGTGAAAGGGTTGAAAGGGTAGCATTTTGATGATTTTTTGGTGTTCGTGGCTCCAGAGCCTTACCTTTCGTTTTGACTACTGACACATACTGACACCCTAAATCTGGCACCTTGTGCAGGGCTTGGAGCTGGTGCCGGTGGTACACCTCGCAGCGTACGTTTGCATGTTCTTCTGTTCGGAATTGTGGTACGAACGGACCCACAAATGCAGTACTGGCAGTATCAAATCATCCAATGTTGAGGCTACTTGATTTTTTTGAGCAGCAGCTCATGCAGCCCGTCCTGCAACTCCTTGCTCGAGGACCTGGCTCACTTGAAACTTGATCAAAAGGAAGCGTCTATTTAGGCATGGGTCTGCTCCAGAAGATTACCCTACGGATTAGGCTCGATCGTTAAGCAGTTAAGCAAAAGCTGCTGTTTCAAATATGTCAAGTCATGGATGGCACCAATGGTAGAAGGCAGCCGCCTCGCCTTTGCCTCGAGTGCAGCGTTCAGCTGTTGCAGCGCACGCAACAAGAAGTCCTGAAGATGCTTGGAGAACAAGAGGAAAAGCAAGCTCCATTTGCAGCTTACGTCGGTCCCTAATGCAAGGGACATGCCGCTTCTGTGCTCAACCGGTGTTCTCTCCTTGAGAATTCTCGAGGTGTGTAACTACTTTTATTGTAATATTCTGTAGAAGCACAATCAGAATACCAGTAGATCTTCTAGAGAATCTTCGATTCAATTACAAGCACTGGCCGTCAATGACTCACAAAAGCCCATCTGTTCCTGTGTGCGCATGTCCCGCGACTGTTTCGTCTCTTGTACTGCAGCCTTCAAACAAACCGCAGCAGTTTGTAGCTGATTTCAGAAGCTGTGCAAAGTCTCTCTTATCAAAATACGTGCTGTATGACAGGAGTTTCAAAAGTTGCTGTGCTGAGCAAGTGTGTGACAAACCCAAGTATACCCTCTGGTTATTTAACATAGCCATGGAAAATGGCCCACTTATAGATGGTTTACCTATTAAAAATTGTGATTTTCCATGGCCATAAATACTCAGAGGGTAAACTCTGCAGGTTGGGGCGGGGAATGACCGGAATCCGGAATCACCTCTGCAGGGATGTGCTCAAGGAGTAAGTGCATCTTTGGCGTCTCCTGGAGAAACACCCGCACTTGGTAAACCCTTCGATGTCAACGGGAAAATCATCTGTAAATGGGCAACTCTCCATTGCTATGTTTCATTGCCAGAGGGTTACGCATCTCCAAATGTAAACCCCTGAAGAATTTCTGCTGAGGTTCGGTTTTGCCTTTTGCGGGAACCTGTCTTTTGTCCCAAGCTGAAGCACAGCCAACTGAATCTCCTCATCTGGCTTTTCCGCTTCGTCAGTGCCATCATCCATGGCATACCACACGTTCCATATCTGCCACGAAGTTGTGATTAAATACAAACCCGTCCAGCTTCCAAACGACCTTTGGCATACCCAGTGCATCATCTGTCATCATGTCACGGACCTCTTCCAGCATTGCTTCTGCGCAACATGTCATCACCCGTTTAAAAACTAAAACGGAGACCTATGTTTCTCCGTACTTCGTTTGCAAAACCACCATGTCACCCTTGGATGCTGGGTCTGGCCCCATGCCATGGTCAACGCCCAAAATCAAGCCTCCATCGGCACCAGCGCATTAACTGGCACCACCACAAGGCCTTGGCGAATTTAAAACAAACTTCCCAAATAATCATGCCTTAGTATGCCTCACCAATCAATAATTCTGCAGGGTCCAAAGCTTTCCCAAATCGAAGGATAATGAGCCTGTCTGTAGATTCTGTAGAGTGTACTCAGCGTCAGGCCGACAGAGCTCTGATCCGAATCACGTGCTCGCACATAGATCACAGGATCCGCATCGGTCAGCGGTATCTCAGTCCGACGGTTGAGAAACATGTTGAAACCTCCGACTCTACCTGGAAAAGTCTGAAAGATGGAAATCTAGCACTAGTAGTCCACGGCTCTAGCTCAAGCACTGGCTCTCCAAGGCCTTTACTGGCAGTACAATGTTCTCGCCTTCCAAAGTAGATGGAACCTGGGCTTTTGATGCGCGGCACTGGGTCTGCAGAGACACACAAAGACTAGGTGATGCTCATAAGGCAATCAGAGTTTACCAACAGCCAGATAGTCCCAGTGGATAGTTCGCACCATGACATCCGCTGCCCTTCTGTCTGAGAGTTTAAGGAGTTCAAAGAATATGTTTGCCGCCTGACCAACAAATACAAGTCCAGAGATCTTGCATAGTGTGCAGGATGCAGCCTGGTTTCATGGTAAGGAACACAAAAATGGCAGTCAGAACCTCAACTGGAAGCCATGGCCCCGGCCGGACATTGAGCGGTGGCATCCGCCAAGGCAACCTGATTCGCAAGGGGTCCCATTTGGCATACAGTTTGCTGCGATCATTCACCTGTTATGGCCATTTATGGCCTATTGGTTGTGGATTGATTGGGGACTTACCCCCAAAAGGACGAATCTGTGCCTTTGATGCCTTTGGTATAGTGACTATAGTGACACAATGTGGCACATATTGCCATCAACACTTCAACTAAATAGAGTCAGCAATTAGCCCGGACCTCACATGATGGCGCATCGCCAAGGTCTTTCCCTGGCACTAGAACCTCCAGCACGTGCACCAGCACATACCTAGGACAAAGGGGACACTCTGTTGCCAGGAAGACATGACTCTGCTAGGAAGCAAATAGAAGCCAACACAGGTAGTGCTGGTGCTGGATCCACCCTACCAGGCCCTACCAGTACATATGCAGGTGCTTAGTTTATCTCAGGCCTACAGTTCTAGTGATTTTGGTCCCGATGTTCAGCTGGCCACAAAAGTAGAAGCACTGGACTTGTCAGTTTCTGTGCCGTCAAGATCTTTAGAGTCCTTTGTACCTGTTCATGTGTCAAATCCCACCAGACTCCATGTTCGATCATGCGGAGGTTTCCCAAAATGGGGATACCCCTAAATCATCCATTTTACGAAGATTTTCCGTTATAAACCATCCAGCTATTGGAGTACCCCCATGACGTAGGAACATTCAAGAGTAAGACAGGCGCACCCTGCCATCAGGCGCTTGTTGCAGAGCGGGACCAGCTCTTCGACTTGAGGATTTTGTTCAGTTCAGGGTCTTAAGGGCTGGTTCTGCGGATCCGTCCATCGATACAGTACCAGGTTGGCGGGGTTCCATTTTCAAAGTTTTGGCTGTTCTGGGCTGGCACATGTCCTAACGAAGCCATTGGAATTGTCATTTGGTTGCTGAGACTCTTTCCATGTCTGACATCTCTTTTTGAACCAGACTCTGATGTTGCAGCTGCGGGTGTTTTCCTTCAAAACACCGTTTTTGTCAACAATTGAGTCATATGTCTCTCGAACAAATGGGTCAAAATGGTTATTTTGTGGCTTACGACTTTCCGGAAACAAGGTGAAGCAACTCTCATGAGCGGATGGAGGTGCTTGACATTCCCCGAAGCGGTTGAGCTTGGAATCGGGCAATGGCTCCAGAATTTCACGGCTGATTCCAGATAGTTTCAGGACCCGAACAGCAACGACCCCTCTTTTTAAGCCTCCTGCTATTTGATCTGCGAAGAAGGGTTCAGCTGGGAAGCGGATTGTGACTGTGACACGTCAACCATAGCCAACAAACAAAACACCAGAACTGAATAGGCACTAAAGTTTAAGAACCAGCTAGCTCACCGCACTTGACACATTGCTGCTCACACCTGTATAATCTTTAGCATCAGGTTTGTTTAGTGCTGGAGCAGCAGCTATTCTGGGATGATTGTGGAGCATCCATCTAGCATCAAGCTCACACCAGCTGGCTTTGTAGCCAGCTCAAATCCATCGAAAGCTGACGAAAAGGAAATGCCTCATATCTCATAGTCCCCGAATGCCCGCGTTTCGAGCGAAAGATGACGCCTGCGCAGATGAACTTCGGTACTTCGGTGAGTGTGAGGGTGGATTTTGGACATGCCATGATTGGGAGCACCATATTTGGACGTGCCATGGAATGATGCATAGATGGCATAGAATCATGCTGCAATCGCATCTATTGATGCACAGGTGCCTGGAAGTTCATGGACATCCCCAGGCCGCGTTTGGGCGTTGGGGCAGCATAGCGGCGGGCGCTGCCTGTGGCTGAAACCCTTCAGTTCAAAATGGCAGATGCTAAAAACTGCAGTAGGAAATTGAAAGGCTCAACCAAAACGAAGTGACATGAACAAATGTGTCGCCAACGGTAGCATCCCAACTTCAGCGATCTGGACAAGCTAAAATTTCATGGCTTTCTGACGTTTGGTGCATTGTAATTTCTGACTGAACCTGTCCACAAACTCATGGGGCCTCCCCACTTGCCGCGCAGCTGTCGGCCAGACAAGAACTTGTACAGAGCTTTGGCATAACGCTTGCGGAAGTCCAATCCAGTCTCCTGAGGAAGCGCCTGGTGTCAAGTTCAAACAGAATTGATATTGGTTGCTCTGTCGAATCGATCTGCTTATTCTTGAGCCACTTAGAGTCGACTCCCAGACTTGGTCACATTGAGCTCTCGTAATGTGTCTGTTCCGGGGATAGCAAGATAGGTTGCAAACGCACTGCCTCGAAGTGCTTCACCACATCACCGAACACCATGCCCTCCTGTGCGCGGAGTGGACTGAACTTGTATCCAAGACATTTGACACTACCTGCCTGACCATGTCACCCCAAAAGCCATTTTAGCCTTCCAAAATCCACCAGAATCCAAGTCCCTTGAAGCCACTTCCCAACACCACATCTCAGCGGCTTTTCGCAGCAAGCGGTTCCTTGCAGTCCGCTGTGAAGAGAAGTTTGGCCAACGAGTTGCGATCTTCCAAGTTCTGAGGATCCTGTGCCCAAGACCTTGAGGACATTGGCAAAACTGAGCAAAAACGGGTTGATTTGAAATAACCCATTGAACCCATGAAATTATATTGCAAGGCAGTGTTTAAAGTTTAGAAGTTTAGGGCATAATCTGATGAATGCCCTGACATGCATTTTTCAAGAAATGGCGAGTGCTGAATGTGTGAAGCCAAAGAGCAGGGTGCCATTGGCCAGTCGCTCTGTAACGACAATGCTCTTCTCTTCGGTCTCCAAGACCATGTAGTAGTGGTTGCAGGCCTCGAGGCTTCCCATGCCAGCCTCCCAAAAAACACCGACTCTCGGTCCTTCGACCGTTCCAGTCCAGAACTCCATAAGAATCAAGCTCAAGCCAAACAACCCATGATACTTCTGCAACAACACCTCAATCTCTACACCCTTTTTGATTGCAACTGCAGGCGTTTTGCCTCATGCTCGCAGGACTCAATGTACATCTTGCATCTGCTCAACTTCTCTTTGTGCAACACTGCCTGTTGACAAGAGCAACTCATCGCTTCTGCCCTCGACTGACCAACAAATTTGGATCGACACACACTGCGGTCAACAGGAAGACACGAAGTCAACTTGGCATCCTCAATCTTAGCATTTCTTAGCATTTCTTAGCCATCAAGAGATTTTTGAGGTGAATGCCACAGCCATCCACAGCCCAACACTTCTCGTGACGTGTCCAGGAGCCAGGCCTCTGCTTTGGTGGCTTGTGCCTCCCAGGAGGCGCCTCGAGAACTGAAGACCTGGTGCACTTGCTCTTCTGCCTCTGGCTCTTGGATGGTTCGCACCTGACAAAACCCGCATTCAAAAACAACGACACGGATTCCGTTGTGTACACTCGGCTGTTGGCTTTCACTCACAAGGTTTCTGAGTCTATCTTAACGGGCATGAAGATTTCAATCGTTTCCTATGATTTCCAAGAACAACTGCAAAAAAAAATGAACAAAAGCAGTATCGAAACATTCTGGAAGAAGACATGCACCAACCTACTATCCAGAAGCACTGAGGTAAACCTGTGGGTTGAGGCTGACCTCCAGACTGCCCAGCTTGTAGATGCGGAAGTGGACACCATCCTCTGTCACTTGGTGAAACTCTGGCACGGCGTTGGGCACAACCTCCTGAGCACAGCGCCAACGTAGGGATTCAGTGGGGATTTAATGGGAATTATTGGAGATTTTATGAAATTTAAGTGGATTTCACGGGGATTCTACCTTCAAACACCAAAGAGATTCAAAGAGAGTGACTTTCCAAGTAAATCCATCAGTTCCATCCAAGATGACCACGCTTTTTTTCAAAGTGTCTGCAAAACACGACATCTGAAGTATCGTGCAGTCTATTGTCCTGCCAACTATGGAGCTACTTGGTGGGATTCAAGGCATCTATTGCCAGAATTAGGTTCCCTTAGCATGGCCTGAAGAAGGCTTCGCTTGAAGCTGTCTTCCACATCCAACTTCACCAGGCCAAACTTGGTTGGGACGGTATAAGACACTCGCCTGAGACAGCTTGGGCAAAGCCAAATGCAGCGCAAATGACGCTATCAAACCATTCAATACAGCTTTGCCATCCACGACAAATTGTCCTGACATGTTCGGAAACTGCAAAAGGAAGTCATGTCATGTTATGCATCCACCCAAACGCAGCGACGAGTCTGCGCCATGCATGCTATGCGATTCTTGGTATGCTGCTCTTCCAAGAGAGGCGTTGCGCGCTTCAAAAAAAGAGGCCAGCCGTTCAACACACTCACTTTCAAGAAACCGTGCAAGAAAAAGAAACGAAACACCTGATTCACATTGTGATGCTCTAAGCTTTAAATCCAAATATTCCACTCTCCTTTGCGTAAGGTTTGCACCCTTCCAACTCCACTTGGAAGCGTGACGTCCAAGATCTGGGGAAGTCTGAGCCAGGGTTGGCCATGACGAAACTCCTTGGTCTAGGTTTCTCCAGGCAAATGGTTTCTTTCCCCTCTTACCCATTCTTTCATTCTTTCAGGATCTTCAGAGACTCTGTTTGTGCCAAGGGTCTTGTCGGCGAAGCGAGTCTTGCGGCGTTCGCGAATGCTCTTCTCCTCAGACACATGTCAGGCTCTGGGACTCGGACCCACAGAATTCAGTCAGGTTTGGCATCGAAGCATCCGATCTTTGGGATGCTTGATAAAATTGTTTAACAGCCATCTGATGAACATGTGAAATGGCTAATTAGTTGTGTAGGAGGCAACATATGCTTCTCTTCCCTGCACCGGCTTAGCCTTGGCTGAAATCCTGGAAGTGGCGTCTTCGATTTGTTTGGAGAACATTTCCAACGATCCGTGGAAATGCTTATTGGAAAGACTAGTAAAGACTGTCTGGAGGACTTCTTGTTCTTTTGGCTGTTGTTGGTTTTCTCACCTGGAATTTGAAAGGCTCATTACAAACAAATCTGTTCACCTTTTTCTTGGGCCGAGTTTCCTCACCCACTGTGTTCCGAAGCTTCTGAATGTACGCCATGTTCCTCAGTAGCTGGAAGTCATCAGAAACAAGACCAGCAAAGTCCGACTTCGAGATGATTTTGGCGGCACGTTTTCTCAACAAGCTGCGGATCAGGGGGGATGAAGGCATCTCCTTCTTCTGTGCGATCACACTGGGGCACAGTAAAGATGTTCACCAGGAGGCTCTGATCATCTGGCTTCACGCCAGGCCTTTGAAAAGTGCAACCCACGACATCCACAAAGCTGATGGATCAGTCACAAGAGCAACCGGACCCTGCCCTCATTTGGCAATTCCTGATGAGCTTCCTGGAAACCCACCAGCACATCATGAAAAAGAATCCAAGCATTCAAACTTCATGACCCTTGAAGTGAGTTTTCTGCAAACAAGGAGCCATGACCTTTGCCTCAAGCTGTTGAGGAATGCCTCATGCATTGGCAGCCGGTGACACAGCAACTTTCTCAGCCCTGAAACTTGAAACCTCTGGCAGCAGATTCCTGAGCGCCACACCTTTCCCAGGCTGGTGCGAGCTTCAAGGGAGCCAACCCCACCACTGCAGGGTGGCAGCCGGCCGGCAAAGCGTTCCTGCAACACATCAACTCCCAGAAACGTGGCCGTCTTGGAAGGACCCACAACTGAGCCAAGTCAGACCAAGTACCGACTGTAGCTCAAGCACTAAGGTCCTCGGTGGAGAGGGAGAACTTGTCCAAGTTCAGGTCCACACCTTCAGGAAGATATCAATGTGCTTGGCAATTACACCCCTCACCAACAGCAGTAACTTTCCTAGGCACCAAGCCCTGTGGCATCTCGCGCTGACCCAACTGGAAGCGCTGTGGCATAAACATTGGGCGGCCTGCACAGCTGGCTTTTCCATTCACTGAGTGTACTTTCGCACAAAGTCACGGAATGTCACAGACTTGAAGTGAGCCTTCCGGTCAGTCCACAGAACGCTGTCAAGTTGAATAGTTGTATCTGTTGTATCCAGGTCATTTGGTTTCTGCTTGTCATAAGCTCATCCCTGTCTATATACTTCTCCAAGGATCAGAGGCGCTTCTGCATGTGATGCAGACGGGTAGAACGCATTGATTATTCCAAACAGCTTGGTGGCTTCGACCCATCCACAACCACCAGACATGGGATCCTCCTCATTTTTAGGGGCTGGAAAAGTAAGAACGTATCATCAAGTAGAAACAATGTTATAACATTTCTGTGTTAAGCCACCAGCCAGTCGTCATATGAATAATGTGGTAAACCCAAGAAAAATTTTAATAAACCATCCGCAAGATCACGATTTCTATGGGTGTAAACCATCCCCAACTGGTAGGTCTATTATTGGGTTTCCCACATTATATGCCAACCTACCGGAACCCTAACCTTCAACGTCGATGTTGCCCAGCCCCACATGGCCTGACTGACCCAGCTGCATCCCTGGCTGGCCCTGCAGCGCATGGCGCTGGGCCAATTCAAAACGATCCAGGCCAAACTCCACTCCGCCGTAGATGGCCTGTAGGGAGCTCTGACCGCCTGCCAGATAGGAAGGAGATGGACAGTTGTTTTAAAACATGACAGGATGGCGGCGGAATGCGGCGGATACTTTTGGAGATCATGGGAGGCAATGGGAGAGAGATACATATTATAAATATATTATAAATATATATATAATGATATATATATATATACGTATATACAACATTTATTCATGCATGCATGGAGATCGCCAACGATATGATACGTGTGTCTTCAAAAATGGGGGATGGGCTCCCCACAATTTCTGGCTAGGTCTGTGGGAAAAATTTTGAGGCTTCAAATCACGGCACCGTGGGAGATCACTGTCACTGGTGTAAAGGACTTTTACAGGAAAGTGGTTAACCATGGTTAACCAAATATTGGATACCTTCTGGTAAACTAACATAGCTATGGAAAATCACCATTTTCTAGCTGGGAACATCCACTATTTCTATGGTCATTTTCAATAGCTATGTTAAATTACCAGAGGGTAATATGGATGTGTTCGATAAATCTTGCAATCACATGAAGCTGACCTACCAACACACCAGTCCAATGGGAATATCAACTGACCGGATCCAATTTGGCAGTGACCAGTGGAGTCTCACTGTTTCAACTGCATGTTGTCTCACTGCAAACAGTTCCAACGTTTTCAAACGCGTCATGTGCTGAGACGCAGCCTGTGACCATGTCAATGAGTCGGCCATTCTTGAGTTTGATCCTCGAGTTGCCCCGCATGTTCCAGAGCTGGGGAATCTCAGGATGAGCCTCCGAGCATGCTGGACGGGGATGAAGGTGGATGATACAGTAGATGTGGAAAATTGAAGGTACAACAGAATACAATGCACAATTTTAAAAGGAAAAAAAAACGAAATGTTTCACTGCTGCAGCTTCCAACTGCAGTTTCTATATGTCAAATACACAACCTCCAAGTTTCGTTTCATCCCACCTCCGGCTGAATGTTCTTCACGATCTCCTCCGCCAAAGTGTACCATTTGGGATCCAGGCGAGCCTTCGAATCCACAAGGTATTTGGCCATCACAGAGGCCTGGCAGTCTGGGTATCACCATCACCATCAACTCATGTCTTTCTCTCCAGGTCTGGCTGATATCTACTGAGTTGCTGTGTGACATGTTGCAACCCAACCCTATATGTAGGCCCTATCCAGTACTATCCAATCCTCTTCGGAGTCTGCCAACCGTATCTTCGACTTTTCACATCAGCTTGTCATGTATGGACATAGAATGACATAGATATCATAAATGTGTCTCTATTTACCTATAATTCAATATAATTCAATATAGTTCATACATTGCAATATAGAAGATATAATTTATACATCACACACATGTCTTGGCCACAAAGGGTCAGCCACATCCGGACGTCCCTTCGCCTTGGCCAACTCGCGAAGGTGGAAGATCACACTCTTTCGCTCTGCGATGAGATCGAAGTGCCTGGTGAAGGCCTTGGCCGGGTTGAAGCGCCCCCAAGCAACATGGCCAGCTTAACATAGAAACGCAGTGAAGCATGATGTTAAACTGTTGAACAGTGGATTTGGTGAAATGAGGTGGATTTTGGGAGGTACCTGGTTTTTGGGGAAAAAAAACATAGCAGCAGGCGTTCCAAACAACTGCAGGAAATGCTGGAAAATCCTCATTTTCATCCGTTCAAATCTGCAGTCGCTGGGCCTCCGCGAACTTCTTCAAAGGGTGGTGAGGCAAAGTCACTGGTGCATCTTCCAGGCCATTCTTCGTCAGCACTTGTTCGCGAGCCTGGTTTTGTGTACACGTCTCCGTAGATCCGCAAATAGGATTCTGGTGATCACCACTGATACTTCACCAGGTTAAAGACTACCAAAAGCCGACAAGCAAATCTGGGGATCTCAGACTTTGTATGCTCTGACATTAATGTCCCATTCCCAGCCTCAACGCCCATCTTGACGTGAGGGATCAGCGTGTTATCTTCAGCCAGTCGAACTTCTGCCTTCTTGACCACGAACCATTCACGGCCTTGGTTGAAACTCTAGCACACAGCCATTTGAACGCAAAACCATCAGGCGACTTTGTCAATGAAGATGTGCATTTCCAAAACACTGAGATTGTGGCCGGCCCATTGGTTTTCTTTGCCGGTCATCTCGGAGAAATCAAAGACGCTGCTCATTCCAACCACAGGCATCGGATACTCACCCAGAGCAAGCTCCTTCAAAAAATAATCCGCTTGGAACATCACATCTCCAGCACTGGTGCCAGCCAGCCATTTGGGTTCATAGACTTTCTGTTGAGGAGAGCTTTCTAGGTTCTGAGGATCCACTGGATCCAAGGAGAAGAGCGGCTCCCTGGAAGCCGTCTTTCGAACCTTTAAGGCCAGGAGAAGGTACTCCAAATTCACTGCAGCAGAAGGTTCCAGGGTCGCCTGAACCTTCACCGTCTTGGAGGCTTCATCCAGGACCAAACAACACAAACCTTGTGGTGAGGCCTTGCAGCCCATGCGCTCCGCCAGAGGGAGATTTTCCGGAACGCTATCCATGCGCCATCCAATGTCGTACTCCCTGCGGTTCAGGATTTTTTTCTGCTGCTCACGTTCATTGCGAACCTCCTCATCTCGTTGCGCTTCTTTGGTCAACACCTGCGCCATGCACTCAGTGTGCACACAGGTGTGCTTGCCTTCACGACCCTGGTAGGCAAACTCTCCCACTGGCATCGAGCACTTGGTGCACAGTGGAATCTCCTCACCCTCTGAGTCCACCTCAGCACAGCTACAAGAGAGACAAGGTTCCTTGAAAAACACCTGTGACACTTCGATTGCCAATTGCGGAGCCTCAAAAAAAGGTCAAATCGGTCAAGTCATATCAAATCCAGAACTTGGACCCTCGCCTCGGTGAGGTTGGGTTTGTTCAGGCGCTTCTCTCGGGGTTTGTAGGACAAAGCTGCCTGGAGTGACTCCTCTGACACCTTCTCTCCCTGTGGAAGCTTGCCACTGTACCAAGGGAAGGCTTTCCGACTGTAGCCTCAACTCCAAGGTGGGAACACCGCTCGGAGGGACTGACAAGCATGAATAGAGAAGAGAAAGAGAAAAAAACAACCCTATACATATGTGCATTCAAAATGTAATAATCAATATCTATAATTTGGTTTATATATATATATACATACAAAGGTTTTGGATCAGAGCGTGCCCTTTCAAACGTCTCTCTCCAACTACCTTAGCGGGCTTTCCCGTGTTCCGTCTTGCCCGCGGGTCATCCACTTGCTGAAGTTTGACTTCGCTGGTGGACAGATCTTTGCAGTGCTCTGCGATCCTGGCCAGATCGTAACCACCTGTTCTGTGCTCCCAGGCACGTAAAATTCTGGGTGGCCTCATCTTCATCGTGATCCTCTTTGTGCATTCTGGCGCTTTCGCGACGGCATTGCATTTAACTTGGTTCCGGTGTATGCCATCTACCCTGCTGGTCTTCTTCTCCTTTGTTTTGTTCATTGCCGGTAAGGATTACGCCCACACAGCGCAGAGCAGGCCGACGAGCGAGGGCTCGTGCAAGACTTTCATTCCATCTGCACAAGCGGGGATTGTGCATTTTGGACAACAAGGGCTTGCAGCGTCTCTTGGACACTCTACAAGGTCATCACTCGCGCGATTCAGTGTTCCTTCGCAGGATTGTTGCAGCCATGACATCGCAGAAGAAGCCTGCATGGAAGTGCGCAGACTGCCGAAGATTGATCAAGGGCAACGATTTGTTCTGTCCGGCATGTGGTCAACACTGGGAGGATTGTGCGGATACTGCGTACCAGGACCCTGCAGCGGCTTCCCAACGCTCGCAGACTCCTTCAAGGCACACGACATGCCGCAGCTACAACCAGGGAGACCCATATTGGGATGGATGGCACAATCACAAGTCGACGAGCGCAAGCCCCAGGAGCAGGCAACAGAAACCCAAGTCCCAACGACACCATGGAGGAGGTGGCAAAGGCAAAGGCAAGGGTGGCAAGGGCGGCCAGGGCAAGGCGCAGCCCTACCAGCACCAAGGCATGGGACAAGAGGGCATGGCACCGCTCCCTCCACCACCTATGCCACCCCCGACAGGGCCGTCAGACTCATGGATGCAATTTGCAGCTCCGTACAATGCTGCTGGAGGGCAATCGCAAGAACCGCCCAGGAGTGCTCCCTCCACAGCGGAGCTCAAATTGAAGGAAGTCATGGGCATTTTGAAGAAGAACGAGACAGAGCTCCCCGCCGAGGTGGCCGCCGTCATGAAGGACACCAAGGTCCACGAGGGGATGCAAAAAATCCAAGGCATGCACGAAGCTGTAGAGGACCTTGGAAATGCACAGCAGCGATTGGAACAGGTGTGCTTCGCCAGAGCGCAGAACCTGGCATCATGGCGACAGTTTCTCCACCTCTCTGTACAACGTTGGCAGGAGTACACGCAGAGGTTTCAGAGCCAAGAGAAGCACAACCTCGAGCAGATCACCAAGGCAAGAGACGAGGTCAAGAAAGCACAGGCGATCTTCCGAGAACTTCAAGATCGAGGTGTCATCACCGTGGAAGCGGAGGAGGACCCGGAGATGATGGACGACACCTTGATGAATACAGAGAGTTCCAAAAAGATCGAAGATGGCCTGACGCATCTGACAGCCTCGCTGGGAGAATTTGCTCAACAAGCAGACCTGGAGCATGCTGCAGCAGAGGAACAACAGAAGAAACGACAAAGAAAGGAAACCAGCGGAGAGCCGGTACCCACAGGCTCCAAACCTGCGGCTATGCCATCAATGCAGCCTTTTGGTGGGGCTCACAGTGGATGACCCTTGGGTATTCCTGTGGACAGCCAGCAACTTCTCTACTGTTGGTGGACTACACTTTAGGATGGGCACACTCCATCGTGACAGAGCCGGATTTCACTTCACCTTGGGAAGCCACCTTGCGTGCCCTCGAGCTTTCGTTTGATTTAGGCACGCTGTCTGCTTTGGGATGCAGGCACAATTCCATTGGCACCGAGGATTTTGACACTGAATGTAGACACGATCGAACAAAGGACAGTCGATCGCTACGTTTTTGTGAAGAAGTTGAAGTCCTTCTCGGCATGGAGGAGAGCCTAACAATGGTTTCCAGTGTACTACGCCATCATGATCTTTGCCAAGCTGATATGAAACCATGGGGATGGTACTACAGCAAAGACTTATGGCAATATGATCATGACAAGGATGCCTACAAACCATTCAAAGTGAATCGGTCTGGCCAGGAACCGCTGTCGAAAACGGCCGCGTTGATCCGGCAGACCCAGAGTCCAGCGTTGTTGCGACTCACTGACCAATGGCATCATCCAATCCCTGATGAAGCACGCCAACAGACACCTGGCCAAGAAGAACAGGAGGCTGACCCTGACATCATTCCTGACCCCATAGGTGCTCCCAATTTTGTGCATGATCTATTTGAACTCGCAGGGCGGCACAGAGTCTTCACTGATCTTGATCATGACGGCTCCATGCATATCAGAACTTGGTATTTGCACCACCAAGATGAACGTTATTGCGATGTGCCAAGATTCCTTGAGTTTGAAGAGGACTGGCGAAGATGGGAGACTGATATCGGTCAGGCATGGAGGGATCACATCAGACCGAATGAAGTCATCCAGATTCATGTGGTTTTTCCAGACTCCTTCAGAGGGTACCTGACAAGACCTGTGCACGCTGACGTGATCATTTCTCAGGGGCATTGGCTTCATCGATTTTCGACACTCTCCACAATCCATCATTTCAATCGACTACATCCCCCGCATTCGTATGCAGTTGCTTGCTCCCTTCAAAGACGGATTGGGGGGATCTTTCTTGCGGAAGCGGCCAGGGTTATGTATTGGTGCAGCCAGCATAGCATCAGTTGTCGTACAAGCTATGAGTGGCATGACATCCCATTCAACACGGTGCTCACTCATGAGGTTCATCATGGACATGCCTTTAACATCAATATCTTTGATGCACCGCCACAGAGCAATGCGGCAAGCTCATCGGCTTTGAGTACGAGGAAGAGGCAGTTTTCTGACATCGATGATGCATCCTTCATGCAGCAGCCAAATGAGGATGATTTTGCTGAGAACGACATTGCGGATGAACAGGCAATTGGGCCAGGTCCAGGGGACTATGAGAGCAGCAGCCTCCACAGTGGTGACATTGGGATTCTTATCTTTCGTCTTTCAGAACCAGACGCTCACTGCTTTGCGCCAAGCACCACATACATGGCAATTCTTGAGGAGGCCATTCGTGCATGCAGAGCACGTAGGCGTGACATCAGATGCTTCCATTATGTTCCAGCCACACCAACGGGGGTCCACACAGAAGCGGAAGAAGTGATTATTCTGCAATCTGTGTATGACATCGCGGCAGGCTCAGACGAGAAACTTGTCTTACTGGACTTGGAGATTCACTTCCATCCACTTCGAGGGGGCCTTCTTGTTCCAGCAGCGGCAAGCAGAAAAGTCATCAAAGTCAACCCTACTCTACATCGTGATCAGCTCTTGCTCTTGACTGGACTCTTCGAGTATTGCCGGCTTCAGCATGATCGCTGCACGATTTTCCAGAACAATGTCTTATGGTCAGCGAATGATGCCAGCACGCACACTATGGCTCATGGGATGTACTTCAAGATTCAAGTTCCGCCGCCACAAGATCCGAATTTGGACACAGAGCTTGCCATTGCGATTGCGCGAGACCTTGCACTTGAAGAAGAACCATCCCGCACAGATGTGGCAGCCAAATGCCGACAAAGACATGATGCCCTTTCACTTCGACAAATTGGAGCGTCACCGGGTGCCGAGGAGCACCTGTGGGATCCCATTGTTGAGCACATTGACAATGCTCCACTTCACGGACACCCTCTGACACCTTTGCGAGCAGTGCAGCCACAGAGAGGCAGATTTGCCGAAGGTCATGAATGGAAGTTGATACGCACTAGAGATCGCACTGATCTCATTGAGTGTGAAGAAGAAGGTCGCATCATGTATGTCACAGTGTGGTTCATCCATCATCAGTTACAAGTACGCTGTGATGAAGGGAGACCAGTTCGACTCCAGGAAGATGAGATGAGCTGGACAGAGGCAATTGCGGATTCATGGAGCGAAGCCCTTGACCCACAACAGGAATTTGTCATCCATGTAGTCCAGCCAACACCGCCGTGCAGCAGATTTGCATGTGTGCAAGCGCATCTCATCATTGAGCAATCCGAGAGGCCCGGACAGACCACTTGCTTGATCAGCACTCTGGATGAACGCAGGAGCGTTGACATGTGGACACATCGGGCATTCTCTTTGACCACACTGCAAACCGCTGCTAGTGTCCTGCGCATATCCGAGCTCACTACAGTCTGTCGGTCTGTCACCTGTAGAGTGACGCTTCGTGATTTCCCTTTGAGCATCGTTGATTTCGAGGAACTGGACCCGGCTCTCAACATTGTCATACGGATTGATGGCTTTGATTGGATGAGGGCACCAGACCACATCGATTTGATGCAAAGAACCAAAGACCAACCGCACCAACAAGCCTTGGACTTGACTGGTGGTGGAAACGAATGTGCGGACTATGCCACAGGGATGTTGAACCCGCTTGCGCCGGTCTTTCATCCAGACCGTGCCAACATCTGGAGCCAGCCAGCAGACATCCATGCGCTACATGCCATATGGCAGCTTGGGGCAACCAGCTGGCAAGGAGAATCACCCTCAGCAACCTTTCTAGTGTGGTTTCTTTGTCCTGGCGGAGGTCACTACAGATGTCTCTACGCAAGAAGAACGACACTGTTTGATGATGTTGCTGATTGGAGAGACAGATTAACCTTCACATGGAGAGACTTGATCATGCAAGGAGTTCCAATTGAGATCCATGTTGTAAGACCACCACCAGAAAACCTTGAGGAGGGCATCACCGCGCACATTATCCTGACACAGCTCTTCCCTGACCACACCACGGGGATCTTACTGACGGTTCAGGACAATGCAGTCAACGAGGGCCTTCCTTTTCGGATTGCAGT